ATGAATTAGTTATTTAGTTGCTCAACTGACGTTGAACAGACTGTAGTGATAAATTATTATGGACTGGGCAGCCCACAATTGGCCACAATAGCCAAGATGGTATTTAATAAATGCTATATTATGCTATATATGTAAAGGGACTTAAGAGCAATACCGGACATTTTTAAACAAAGTCACGTTTTCTTCTCTTAAGCTGCATATACACACTTGAAAAAAGAGGCTTCAGGAGCCACCCCCCTACCTCTCCTAAAAAATCGTCATTTATTAAAATTCCCTTTTTATAACCATTAACGAGTACGAAAGTTTTTTATATGCTTGTAGCAACTACGAATGCGAGCAAAGAATTTGTTAAAACTTTCATAAAAAGACAAAACCTCGACGTAAAACTTCGAACTGTCCGAAGTTTGATAATTATAAAAGCCATCATATTAATATCCTAAGAGGGCGTTGTTTAGCTACAAGTCATTTGAGAAAATAAGGCTGTGCAGTATTCGTGTTATTCTTCGTCCAAAATTCTGGACGAAGCAAACAGCAAGGTTTAAGCGGTATCTATATATAATGCGCGGTTCGGAAAAACTGTAGTCGCGCGCATTAAATACCGGTTAAGTCTTTTTGCTTCGTCCAGAATTTTGGACGAAGAATAGCACGAATACTGCAATGCCTTATTTTCTCATTTCCCCCTCCCCGAGAGCAAGAGAAACGAAGATAAGAAACGAAAATAAGGCTCTGCTCGCAGGGTAGTAAAACACACGCCAGATAAACTTTGTAAAGCCTATCTTTATTGGATCAGGAACTGGTCCCTAACCGCTGCTAATCTTGTTGTTGTTGTTGTTGTTGTTGTTGTTGTTAGGGGGCGACGCTCTTTAAAAAAACCCTAAGGATCTATCATTACTTGTTTGATCGGAATTAAACTTGGCACAACTATTCTAAGCAATATTCCGCATCGATTGACGCGGAGTTCGAATTTTTACTTTTGACCGTTGAAGCAAGTTACAAGCAATTCTTGACTATATGTGCAGCAAATAATATATACATATAATTAATATTCAACCTACATATCATTAATATTCAGCCTATATATAAGTAAACGCAAACGATTAGAAATACATTGTCCTCTCTATTGTTGTAAATACAATGCAGTTCTAAAAAACTCGGTCACGCAGTTCCTGGTCCACTATACAGGGTGTATCAAAAAAAATGTCCCAGAATGTTTGCAGAATTGGGTAAATTTTTGTGTTCGTAGAGATAGTTAAGACTTATCTGGTATACCTAGGCCAAGTTTGGTTTTTCATTAACAAAATTAGGTTACCGGGGGGGTGGTTCCTTTCCACTGATATTGAGAGGGCTTGCGCGCGAAAATGTGAAGCTGAAATTGAGATATTATTTAGCTGTTTAAAAGTAGAAAAGCTTTTTAATAAACTGTCAACGTTTCAGGAAAAATAATGCATACTGGGAGCAACGCGCGACCTCTAAAGGTGACAAATATTTCATTGCGCGCAGTGGATTAAATGCATCGTTGATTTTAGCGTGACCGATCTCATGTAAGGCTGGGCAAATGAATAAATTAAAGCGAGAAACTGAACACAAAAACAAAGCGAATTATTCGTGATGTTAATCCTCAGCATGTTCACCATTTCATTCTAAGCAAACTGCTGATTGTCTGAGCATACTAAACACTGAACAGCGAACCATTTGTCTGTCCATTTGCCTAGATTTGCCGGTGGTAGCGTAGGCGATTTGCAAGAAAGAATTTCGAACGAAATGGATAATTTGAGGCAGGACAGACAAATGTGGTTCGCCGTTCAGTGTTTACCATGCTCAGACGAGCCGCAGTTTGCTTAGAAAGAAATGGTGGAAATGTTGAGGATTAACATCACGAATAAAAATCTTGTTATTAAATCGCTTCGTCTTTTTGTTAAGTTTCTCGCTTTAATTTATTCATTTGCACAGCCTTGCATGAGATCGGTCACGCGAAAATCAACGATGCATTTAATCCACTGCGCGCAATGAAATATATGTCACCTTTAGGGGTCGCGCGTTGCTCCCAGTATGCATTATTTCTCCGGAAACTTTGACAGTTTATTAAAAAGCTTTCCTACTTTTAGACAGCTAAATAATATCTCAATTTCAGCTTCACATTTTCGCGCGCAAGCCCTCTTAATATCAGTGGAAAGAAACCACCCCCCCGGTAGCATAATTTTGTTAATGAAAAACCAAACTTGGCCTAGGTATACCAGATAAGTCTTAACTATCTCTAGGAACACAAAAATTTGCCAAATTCTGCAAAATACCCTGAAAAACGAAAATTTTACATTTGGGACATTTTTTTGATACACCCTGTAGTACGATCGTACTTGTTTATATTAAGAAGAGTCAGTCTGAGTTTAACGCTTGATATATTGATATATTCATACAGACGTTGTCGTAAAGGTTGTCATCTACATAAAAATAAATATACGTAAATATCTTTTTCATGATTATACTGCATCCGTTAATTTTATGGGAAACCGAATAATTCATGTATACCGTATCATGCATGGTATATGAGTTATCTCGAGTAGCAAAACCAAAATAGCGAACAGTTTTTTTCAAGAGTGATAAAGAAGAAATCAAAACACATTTTCAAGTCGTGTTCCCAGAGATTAAATAATATTGTTCATGAAAACGGGCTTTTAACTTCAATTTAATATGTAAACATTCAACGAAAGATGGACTAAAATAAAATCAATAGCCGATCTAGATATTTTTTTTATAGATGTAACAGTAATCTCAGTAATATGGTACATACAGAAAGAGTACATTAAACATAAAGATAGTGAACTAAAAAACTTATTGCTTTTTGTTTATTTTAATGAAAGGAACCGCAAGTGACTCCCTTGGTGTGCACAACCAAATGCAGTTCACTACCAAGGATAGCGACAATGATGTTCGAGATAGTTTGAATTGTGCTACAGAGGTTCAAGGAGCTTGGTGGTACAAGCGCTGTTATCATTCCAACCTCAATGGCCTGTACCTGGGTTCAGGTCAGACACATAAGCGTGGGATAAAATGGAACAAGTGGCAGATTTATTCAATGAAAATGACGGAGATAAAAATTCGCCCAAGTCAGTTTTAATACATTCCTACACCACCATTAAAAACAAACATTAACTTGTTGTTTTCGAGAACGATATCAAACTGTAATGATGTAGAAATAAATATATATAACAATGTAATATTATATGGTGTTTGAAAACAAAGTTATTACCTCAAGAGGTCAAGAAGAGAAAAATAATTCAATTACAATTATGAAGGCATTGTAATCTGTAGCTCTCGGTGTCGGTATCGGTTATTGAAATATAACCAGCTGTATGTAACCATGCCGCTTGTAGGCTAGTTCTTACGTATAAAGTCAAACCAACAATACAATAATAATTGTGTTACCACGGGATGTCACTGTTGTGTTGGAATTTAGAAATGACTGAACGCGGCGCCTGTTTAGATAAATACAGTATAGTCCGAACGAGATCATATCAAGTCATAACCGGCCGTTAGGGATTGTCCGGATGGAATGGTACGAACTACGAACCCTGCCAAAAGGAACCGAAATGTGTTGGATTCAACTACATGCAGAGACACTGAGACAAGATCAATGTTGTGAACTGCCAACTGGAAAGAAAGATCACGTTGCAATACACGAAAGAAGGAGAATGGACACCAATGCATGGTGGGTGATAATTACTAATGAAAAAAACTCATAATATCACTTGTGCCATTTGCAATATCGTGAGCTGTCTAATATGCCATAACTTTTATTGTCGCAGCTATATCCAAAATTTGATATGCAAATAAATATAAGAAAAAAGGTAAATAAATGAAACCTTATTTACCGAGAGTAGGAAAACCACAACACAGACGATGAGCGTACACGCCATGGTTGACGATTGATAATAGAGGATGGTATGGTCAAAATTTTAATAAATTGTCTCATTCTCTGACTTCCTAACCCTCCCCACTATATGTGTATAACAGTATGTAGCATTATGGACGTGAAAAATTCGTTTTTTTGCTCTTGTTGTCAGATTATATAATAATAAATATACTATGCTATAAAAGTACAGACCTTGTTTCCGTGTTTATCTGAGCCCCGCCCGGGATACAACTTGTTGGGGGACACAACAGAAACAAGATATCTGCTATAATCGTTAAAAAACTTTCGGCGGGAAAACAGGTTTAAAAATAACCTAAAATTTGGTATATCTTCTATTGCATATTATATTATCTTTTCGTGATCATCTCTCAACGTAATTTCATGCGACATTTGAAGTTTGCTGACTAGACTAACCAGTCTTTTTCGATTAATTTTGATCTAATTAAAGGTCATTTGTAAGCCTAAGGCAGAATTTCCACTTGCAGAGAAATGGTTCGCTTGCGAAATATTTGCACATTTTTTGTCAAATGAAAACAGTCAACCTGAAATGATTTATTAAAATTCGATATAAATATGTAAATATTTCGCTAGCGAACCATTTCTCTACAAAAATCCACACCAAGGCTAAAACGAGCTAAGTAAAGCTGTAGAAAGGGAGAGTGGCGCTTTAGTGCGGGCATGGAAGTCATGAAGTCATATAATATGTCCATAATAATTCCCTATCATTCCATATCCATAATAAACATATATTGTACTATGTTTTTGGTGTATTTAAAAATTGTTACTGTAGCTTACACCCAAGGTTTTTTCATTGTCATAAAACTATGAATATTGTTTGCGGTTTTATCTGTATCTTTCTATTGTATCTTTGCAATATTTTACAGTTTTAAACCCTCTCGACGCTTTACTTCCCCAAAAAAAATATATCTTATTTACCTGAGGAGAAAATATTAAAATGCGCGTAAGACGACGATAGTACAATAGCCCTAATGAACGGCCATTGGGTAATTAATCCTGGGACACCGGTCTGGGATTGCGTAATCACGCACCGTAACTATGGCAACCACGAAGATTCAAACATGGCGGCCAATTTTGTGCATTTTGTACTGTATCTTGCTAATATCTTTATTTTGAAGGCATTTGACTCCTAACATTAAAGGATATATGAGTCCAAAATACACCTTAAGAAACGATTGTGCACCAGCGTTTATAGTGAGACAAAAGACAACAAGGCTTTTAAAAGTTATAAAAGAAAATGTCGTATCTTAAGTCAAAGACACGGCCTAAGAAATACGATAAGGTTTCAATAGAATTTAAGAAAGAGTACGAACGCTTATCTAAAAAGTCGAAAGTCGAATACGAATCCTTGGAAAAGAATGACAAAACGGAATTGCTACTTAGCGAGGGCCTTTCGGTTCAGAAATCTGTTCCGAAGCTAAAGGAATTTGCCCGTGCTAAACAAGGTAAAATAGATTATGTGGACCAAAATGAAAATGTATGTGTGAAAGACGACCAACCGGATACATTGGCTCGTAAGAAACCTCAAGCATCTACGAAAGGCAAGAAGGAGATTAGATTACAGAAGACGGAAGATTTAAAAACAAAACCCCGTCTACACGAGCAAGGAGTCGTGTCGATACGGCCGGATAATCCCGACCTTAAAGTTGTTATGCAGGGTAAGAAAATAGAGAAGAAATCTGAAGATAAAGAAGATGTTCAAACTGACGAAGGGAAGGTAATCACACTAAGCACAGTTGTGCATCAGTATGACACCCAGTAGATTTTGCATATACAGGGAAAAATTAGGAACGATTAAATGAGATGCCCCAGACAATCACACGTTTTATATCTCTCTTGCCAACATAACATACTATGTTATTTACCAGATCCTATAGGGAAATATTTCCCAAGGTCTCAGAAACAGGCCGAGGGACATGTTGAGACCAAGGGAAATATTTCCCGTAACATACTGACTGACTAAACTGGTAAATAATAGATTTATTTTTTTCTTGCGGTCCATTTGATTCATATTTTAGCGTTGGCTCTGTGCTTTTAAATCTTGTGCGGTCCGTACAGCCTCACACGAACTGCTCGCGTAGCTATGCAATTAGATTGCAGTAAACGCCAAAATATGAATTCGGACCGCAAGAAAAAAATATAAATCCTATATATCTCAACACATTAATACACTATTTAGCAAGGAAGCTACCAACTGGATTATGATGAGATGTTGCAGTTTTACAACTCAATGCCACCCTTTGATATTCCAACCACCAACCTTCCTGCAAAGTTTGCTATAACAGGATCTCAGAACACATCCATGCCAGTTTCTCTTGCTCAGAGAAATCCACCAGATGAGAGGGGTCTAAGTTCTGCCACCAGTAAAGGCACTCGATCATTAGTAGATGATGAACCATTTATCTTGCCATGGTAAGGATATTATTTATATCAATTCACCTTAAATTTAAATTTTCAAAAAGTTTAACATTATAAATTATAACCATATCACTTATATTAAGTAGTTTAGGACCTAGATTTCATTTTGTGCAAGTTCTCAGTTTAGACTTATATTTTTTCAACAAACAATGTATGTGATATATTTATGTATAATTATATTTTTGTATTGTAACCGATTACCGTAATTATTCGCCCCAGCCTTCATTGAATTTTTTGCATTTGCGATGAGGCATTTATTAGATGGTTGTATTAATTGCATTTACAATCAACCTCAAACAACTTTTAAGAATAGAAGTTACAGTATATGTCAATTAAATTATAATTATGTACGAAAATTGAACTGTTCACTGTCTTTTATTCATTGGCTAGACTAGTATGTATGTTTGAATGTCACTGATTTTACGACCATTAGTTTTGTAAAGAGCTAAGCAGCTAAGCTTAATGATGTCTAGCTAGGTTACCTAACACTGTCAAAGTTGCTGTACATAGTCACATTTCGCAATTTGTTTTAGTTAATCCAATGTTTTAAAAAAAACCTTTCTGAACACATGAATTTAATTAATAATTAGATTAGGATTCAGGTTAACCCTAATCATCCATAAACCTAATCTTAATCCGTAATCTCAAAGATTAAATTTGCGTAATTACTGAACATGGTTCCATAATTATCATAATTTCCGCGTTGCGTGAAATAGGAGCCTTGCAATTGGTGCAAGCCTTATTAACGCGTACACGTTTGAAAGTTGCGTTTGAATTATTTTTAAAGGTCCTCAGAAAGTAGTTCATCTGGTAGACGATCGTCTTGTCGGACAGCGTCGCGAGGTGATCGGGCGGAAGACCGGAGTGTGGAGGATGAGAAGTACAAACCCGTGTTCAAAGACGTTTTGTCGCGGCTGCAGTCAGGTGGTGAAGGTGAAAAGTTGAGCGTGTCTCAGCTGATTCAAATGAAACTGAAGCAGATTACAAGTGGAAACATTGACACGGTGGATCTGGACAAATCAAGTCACGCTTCTCATTTAGACGTGTCTGATAAGAACGAAGATCTAAAAGTGCATTCTGGTGAGTTAGGTCTCTAAAGTTGAATCGCAAGGTCTATGGATATTTTGTTTATAGATAAGGCTGTAGTACATCTAGTTATATATCACTATTTATTTATTATTATAGCCATATTATAGCTAGCTAATAAGCGCATCCCAGTTAACCCAACTAAAAAGACAATATTTCCCCCAAACATGTTTTCATTGTATCGGTTATAATTGTAGTAATATTGTAAAATACTTTAATATTACACTCTCTGACTGGTCTCAACATATTGAACTACATTACATATACGTTTAAAGATAAATTTAGGCCCTCTTTACATGGAGCAAGTTATCCCGGCTAGGCGAGGTAAAAAGCGCATCACATCAAATGCTTTAACTGATTTGTCTTTCATTATATGCAGTTTTCACCTCGCCTAGCCGGAATAACTCGCTCCATGTAAACAGGCCCTTTAAAGGGAGCAACTAATTTTTTTGCCATTAACTCTAATTAAATTTGTTGTTTAGAAATAGAGACGACAGACAAAGGAGCCCATGGTGGTGTGATCAGCGGTAAATCGTCTGTAATCGCCGATGAAAAAGAAGATTCAGAAATCCCTCGTGAAAATGAGGCAACTGCTGCACGTGAAAAAGGAATAGGCGAGGTATGTTGACGTAAAACGATAATAGCTCAACTAAATTCTTATCGAATGTCGTATAAAAGCTGCCTAAAAATATAATGCAAAAATTAAAGAAAAATATAGAAATATGTTAAGTAAATTGGCTACTGCATACTTATACGTGGTGTACCTACAGGCTAATTTACTTATTTCATGTCACCATGCAAACGTACAAGAATATTAGTAATATATATGTTATTGAAAAGTAGCGAATATTTATGAACTGTGAAATTATGACAAATACGCCTTAGCTCATTTCAATCACAAAGTAAAAAAAATACACCCTGTATATATCTACATCACAATCAACACATCATATACACTCTCTCATAGGTGTTTTGCTCGATACTTATGTGCACACGGCCGTCGTTTTCGAGCGTTTTCAAAATCGTTTTTATCTGGTTCTTCGCTTTGTAAATGGATGGTGTTTAAAATCATTTCGTCATGAAAATGAAAATGAAAATGAAAATGAAAATGAAAATGAAAATGAAAATGAAAATGAAAATGAAAATGAAAACGCTCGAAAACATTACTGTGTGCATATAGTAAGCATATCTAAAACAACCTGATTTTTGCCCGATATATTTTCATTCCATGGATTACGTTTCCTGTGTTTGCCTCATAGAAATAATAGATATTATGATATTATTTATATATTATGTCTACACGTCTATTATTTCTATGGTTTGCATATTTACTTTAAGGCCCAACCAACAGTTCACTTTGAACAATTAATTGTTAGGAGGGCGAAATTGAAGGCGAAACATTAAGCAAGGTACAGGTAAATCTTGAAGATGATTCATTTGTGCCTGAAGAAGCTGGAGAACCTGTGCGTGAAAAAGATGAAACAACGGATGAAGTCGAAGAAAGAAAAAAGACAGCGTCTGGTTTGGCTAAAGAATATCCTCCGCCTACCTTACAGGTTTGGAATTTAATGTGTTTTTAACGAATGGCTCCAGTGTATTTGCGATCAGTTTCGCTTTTTACAGCTACGCTTCACGAGTTGCCGAGTGATAAGCACAACTGATCTCATAATACACTGGATGTTGCAACGACCCATATGCCTATCACAAACGAAGTCAGAATCGGAGAACTTTCGTGCTTCATGCTTCAATTTGTATCAAGTTGTAGATCATAAATCTCGTGGCTAATAGCAACGCCCGTAATTTTGTTTATGGCATTCTTAAATGTTATATGTTGGGTTCTCGTATTTATTATAAGAATTCGTTTTCCGCCCTGGCAAGTCTCCAACTACGATAAAGAAATCCTTTCTTTAAACTTTAGGCTTTTTAACGCAACTGCATTTTCCTTAGGTTTTGATATGTGAAGTTTTAGGGCTATATCGTGTTCAGTTTTAATGCAAGTTTGCCATGCTTTCTAGGATTTGTTGCTTCCACTAAAGGTCACGGCTTCGGATATAGTCAGCATTTCAGGCAAGAAGGCCGAGTTTGTTGAAAGGCCAGGCGTTCAAAGTAAATATATTGTCTCAAGACCTGAGACAGCAGGAAATATTCAGCGTGAAGTCACTTTCCTGTCAACCTGGCAAGACAAAGAAAAAGCCACCTCAGTTAAGGTGGGGCTTTAGTTTTAGGAAAATGCATCTGTTTTGTCGTGCCTGGCTGAACAAGGAGGAATTTTGTTTTAAACGAATCGATATTTTTTTACATTATTCATGCAAAGCTAATCGGAATGCCTCAATTTTTAATACTTCATTAATCCTTCACTGATCATTCATAACTATTCACTCGTTTGCTTCTGTCAAGAAAAAGAGAAAATTGCACTTAAAACTCTCTGAAAAACTGCAAGCAAGAACCGGCTTACAACTGATTTACAACTGATTCACACTTAATAAGAATTAACAGGAAGGGTGACCTACTCCTTTTGCATATGACGTCATGAGTTGTCGATTGTAGAAACATTGACTGTGTGAAACGTCATCTTCCTAATTCCTATCATGCACCAATCGCTTCCTTTCATTTTATTTCATTCGTATCTCAAGGTCGATGAGAAGGCCGGAATCAATATCCATCATTTTTGCTCACAAACGAACAGCGTGGAGTTACCAGCTCACCTCACTCGGATATCCAGAGATATGCACACTGTGGATAAACACAGGGTCGTAGCTCACCGCTATAGACCGAATTCTCAGGTATAATAATATATACAGAGAATGTGTGACAGGTATAATAATATATACAGAGAATATACAGAGAATGTGAAACGCCATTCTAATGTCTTAAATATGAATCCAATGTGAGAATAGTCTCAATCTAACTGACTATTAACTAAACTCATTATTCTTTTCCTTAACTAATCCCCACTATAAATTGCGCCTAAGAGCAACTTCGTTCCCGGTGCCAATTTCCGTGTTTCCCTAAGGTAAACAGGGAACGAGGTTGGGATTTTGTATAGTTTTTATCGCTATGGTTTAAAAAACCGTTTTGGTTCCCATTACCTCTTGGTAACACCGGACACCATTTTGGTTCACATTACCTCTGAACGAACATAAACTAGATCTCTTGAGTCCTGTCTTGTCAGAGAAGCTGTAACCCGCATAAGCTATAGGCTAAATGATTAAACCTTCAACTGACGCTTTACCCAATTGAATTTTAATCCTAAGACCCCAAAGGGAGAATGGCAACAATCTTTGTTCTCTCATTTTAAGGAATTTTTAATTCAAATTTGCTTTGCGCATCGGTTTCCTCAGATGTGGAAACTGCTCAAAATTGTTATTCCAAATTTTCCCGGACATTATCTCTTTCTTGTTCATACGAAATTGATTTCCACTTTAAAATAATCATTTTGATATTTCAAAGATACGCATGATGATGTAAGGAGCCAAAATCTGGAACTGATCAAAAGTTATTTCATTGTTATTTAGGACCCGCTCCCTCGCGCGTTTCCTATATCCGACGCTGTTCCGGGCTGTTGTGAACACATAGAAACAGATGTAGACTGGACGCAGGCTGCTGGTGACTACGAGCTAAAAAGAAAACTATCAGACGTTGCTCGTGGTATCCTAAAGAATGCCGGACGTGATGAAGAAACTTTGGAAAATTTACAGAAAGTTGCCAAAGATCTCGTAAGCAAAGCCGCAGTACTACGTTCACGTACTATCTTTCTTCGTTCACGTACTATCTTTCTTTGTTCACGTACTATCTTTCTTTGTTCACGTACTATCTTTCTTTGTTCACGTACTATCTTTCTTGTTCACGTACTATCTTTCTTTGTTCACGTACTATCTTTCTTTGTTCACGTGCTATCTTTCTTTGTTCACGTACTATCTTTCTTTGTTCACGTGCTATCTTTCTTTGTTCACGTACTATCTTTCTTTGTTCACGTACTATCTTTCTTTGTTCACGTACTATCTTTCTTTGTTCACGTACTATCTTTCTTTGTTCACGTACAATCTTTCTTTGTTCACGTATTATCTTTCTTTGTTCACGTACTATCTTTCTTTGTTCACGTACTATCTTTCTTTGTTCACGTACTATCTTTCTTTGTTCACGTACTATCATCTTTCTTTGTTCACGTACTATCTTTCTTCGTTCACGTACTATCTTTCTTTGTTCACTTACTATCTTTCTTTGTTCACGTGCTATCTTTCTTTGTTCACGTGCTATCTTTCTTTGTTCACGTACAATCTTTCTTTGTTCACGTACAATCTTTCTTTGTTCACGTACTATCTTTCTTTGTTCACGTACTATCTTTCTTCGTTCACGTACTATCTTTCTTCGTTCACGTACAATCTTTCTTTGTTCACGTACTATCTTTCTTTGTTCACGTACTATCTTTTTTTGTTCACGTACAATCTTTCTTTGTTCACGTACAATCTTTCTTTGTTCACGTACTATCTTTCTTCGTTCACGTACTATCTTTCTTCGTTCACGTACAATCTTTCTTGGTTCACGTACAATCTTTCTTTGTTCACGTACTATCTTTCTTTGTTCACGTACTATCTTTCTTCGTTCACGTACTATCTTTTTTTGTTCACGTACTATCTTTCTTTGTTCACGTACTATCTTTCTTCGTTCACGTACAATCTTTCTTTGTTCACGTGCTATCTTTCTTTGTTCACGTGCTATCTTTCTTCGTTCACGTACTATCTTTCTTTGTTCACGTACTATCTTTCTTTGTTCACGTACTATCTTTCTTCGTTCACGTACTATCTTTCTTTGTTCACGTACTATCTTTCTTCGTTCACGTACTATCTTTCTTTGTTCACGTACTATCTTTCTTTGTTCACGTACTATCTTTCTTTGTTCACGTACTATCTTTCTTCGTTCACGTACTATCTTTCTTCGTTTACGTACTATCTTTCTTTCCTCATGTCAGTTCATACTAGTCCCCACATCATAATATTATACTGTTATTATAGTTTTCAGGCATTTCCGATGAACCTTTGACGGTCGAAGGAGTGAAAATCGTCGTTAAAGATGATTCGACAAGGTACTGTAGTGCATTTTATTCAGATTTGTATGCTTTGCATTCCGTGTTTATTTTTATATTTGAAAGCTTCAGCCGTGACTACGACTGTGAAATTCATCTTTTTCGCGCTAAAGTTGATGCTGTTTGCTTACGCCATCCGACGAAACTCTAGGTCGTTGACGTTTTAGCTACGAACTCGTACTAAGAATCTCCTCGACGAGGAGGTTTACACGATGACGTCATGACGTAACCACTTTGTATTTATTATACGAGGCTGAGGCCTAGTTTATACGTCACATTTTGGTCGCGTCGAATGCAATTCAAACAATAGATAATGAGATGATAATGAAGCTTAATGAGGTTTATCATCTCATTATCTATTGTTTGAATTGCATTCGACGCGACCAAAATGCGACGTATAACCTAGGCCTGACAATTCTGAGAGTCGTGTAGACACTACTGAGGCTTTCTTTTTATTTTCAACTTCTACCCTGCACCCGCCGTTACAAAGTTAAGATATGTTCACACGACCCAGTTTTGCCGAACTCAATTCACCTCTGATGGATTTTGACGTGCAATGTATATGTACAAAAATCAACTGCTTTCGCAATAACACACCAATACATGCCATACGTCAGAAGTAAATTGGATCTGACAAAATTGGATCGTGTAAACAGACACATAGACTGACTGAGTGATGTCTTTGAAGGTTTTACTGGACACCGGCACCACCTAAACTTCACCTTTCGCCGTCAACAATTCGTGATCAGATGTTTCCAGCCTATCAAGGCGCACCTGTGCTAAAGGCGAGCACGGAGACTGAGTACGAGACTGTCCAGGGGTCACCAGAGGATTCCGATGAAGACGAGGTCAGCTTTGATAAACTAGACCCTGAAGATGCTGAAGCCAGACAGAGGTGGGTTGATATTAATGATAGCGCAGACGAAAACTTCATCTTGAACGACATACTTGATTCCTGGCAGCTAATAGCTTTTTATATTGTTTGTTTCATATCAGAATTTTTATTTCTTTTTCATTACTGTATACTGTGTACGAAAGAGCGATCGTCCCTCTGCATGGGAGAACTTGTGTTTCTACCTTTGTGTTTGTTCGAATACAACCAAAAAGTGCAATTTTCAATGTACAGCTTATTCCCTTTGAAACTTGCACGAACATGTTCGCATGCACGAATTCACGTCTTCTTAGCTCTCTTGCAAGTAACGTTCTACGTTGCTTAATAGTAATTCCACTGCTCACAAGAATCACAAAGGCGATTATATCAGATGGATTTTTCACAACTATATACCGCTTGTGTCTCAATATTTGTATGTTTCCACTTACGTTTTCCTTAACCATGCAGCATCAAAATTCTTATCTGCTGAGTTCGTCTACAATATTTGACCAATAATCCGTCATTTTGCCCTCGGGTGAGATTCTTCCGTGAGGTGCAATATTGTACCCGATGAATGACGTAACTTGCTGCTATTTTTGTTGTCTTAGAGTTCTCCAACGTACCCATGGTTCTCTCTCAAACATCATGGATGATTTGTCCCGTAAACCAGTGAAATCACTGACTGGGGAGAATCCTCGTGCTTCCCATGTCGATGTCGTGGATAGAGGTAAAGGTAAGTTTTCTGGGAGTCCTCCTGACAATTCTAGTAAAACGAGAGCGGCATAAAATACTGTAAACGGTAATAATTCGTCTTTAATGTCTGCATCGACGCGGAAACGTTTGATATAGTTGGTGCAACATGACGTTTCTACTTGATAACTTGTGCCGGGAACGACAGGATGAAAAGGCAATAGAGGCACCCCTGCACCTCGTTGAATTAAACACAAACATTAAACTCAATATTCAGTAAATATAGGAAAACGGTACAGTTGCGTGTATGAAATATCTGTGATTCCCGTTCTTACCAGCAGAAGGTGTCGATGAAAAATTCTTATCCGTTTTGGATGTTCGTCGTCAAATGGCGAAAATCAAGGATTCTCTGAGGTGCTCTGTTGTGGGAAATACAGAACCTGATGACACGGAGCTGTTCTCGGGGGTAAAAACACAAAGGTTGGTAGGCCTGGCTTTTAACAGCTAAGAAGACTTTGGTTTTTAACTATATACCATTAGGTCGAACTGTGATTTTGTTTTTGTTTACAATCTTCGAAATCTGTGGTTACACAGACGTATTTTTTTTTGGTAGAAGACAACATTCACAACCTGATCTCAGTAATGAACTAAGTTTATGTTTTGACACTGGCTACAACGCTAGTATGCAAGAGGTAAGTTATGGTCGTTGCTGTGCAAAGTAACAATTACATGTTATACAGTATATATATTCTAAATCTCATAGTTTTGTAGTCTCATAGTTTTAATCTTCTCACAGCCTTTTACTTTCACTTTCATTTTGAGTGGCAATTGGATTTCAATGGTTTGGAAGTAATTTACAACAAAAAGACAACCTGACTTGTTTACACATTCTTTGTTTAGCTTGGAGAACAAATGAGTGCACTTGAAGCTATAAAAATGGAGAAGAGAATGCACCATCGAAGCGAGACCCCAATTTCTCCAAAGGTACAGAGTACATACGTAGTAGGTATTATCACAGTTAATAGAATATACATGGTTTGGAGACTAAATACAAGTACAATACAACTCATTAACTATGTTATTGTCCAGGTTTATGCAAAAATGGTTCCTTTCTCGTCACGTGTCTATTGTATTTTAGTCAAATTTACCAATGGCATTCGTCTTGCTAAGCTAATCGACCTTGACTTGAAAAATATGTCAATTAAAAGATTCCTATTTTTTTATCTGTGCAATACAATAAACATGCGAGGGGAAAGGAACAATTCTTGCATAAATCTACCTCAACATAGTGAATGAGTTGTATTGTAGTTCTATGTGGTCTCCAAACCATGTATGTTTTATTAACTGTGATATTATTATGTGCTTGTCTGGCTTGGCAGGTTTCAAATGATCCTCCACTATAGTGTCAACATATAAAGTCAGTAAGGCCTATTTTACACAGCTAAATTTCCTTTCACAAATCTTTTCTCCTGTTGCATGCAAAGAAGTGGACGAGTTGTTAATGTATATTGTTTTCAATGTTTTGTACTTGAGTACACTCACCTTTTTAGCATTCATATTTGTTCTTTGTCGCTTCTTCTAGACTCGTCAATTTAATTGGCATAATAGGGGTTTTAAACGAAGAAAAATAAGTTGCAACTTACTGTATATAAGACGCGACCTCGTCGTATAAACGATACAAAATGGCGTCTTAGATAAGACACTGTCGTCTTATGTAAGACAGGCTGGGCAGGCTGAGTGGACGAGTTGTTAATGTATATTGTTTTCAATGTTTTGTACTTGAGTACACTCACCTTTTTAGCATTCATATTTGTTCTTTGTCGCTTCTTCTAGGCTCGTCAATTTAATTGGCATAATAGGGGTTTTAAACGAGGAAAAATAAGTCGCAACTTACTGCATATAAGACGCGACCTCGTCGTATAAACGATACAAAATGGCGTCTTAGATAAGACACTGTCGTCTTATGTAAGACAGGCTGGGCAGGCTCGTATAAACGAACAGCTCGCGTCTTATGCAAGTTACGACTTATTTTCTCTCGTATAAATAGCCATAATATCACAGTACTACAGGTCCAAACCAAAGCAAGCACAAACATATAAATCTTGTCACTTTGCTCATTCTGTTTCATTTCAACCGACCTACAATATTGTGAAAGAAAGCTCACATAGAGTAGTTCCACATTTTAGGCAGGGAGAGCAATGGTAATGTTAATTTGAGAGAGCTGTATGGAATGGACAATATGTAGTTCTATTGTTGCTGTAATTGTTTTTCCTGCATTTCAAAGTCGCTACAGTGCATTGATCGATATAAAATTTTATCATTTTCAGATTGAAACTTATGGTGAAAAACAGGACTCGTTTGATCTCTCTTCGTCATTAAATGCTGGTAAGTAAAGTACGGAAGGCCCAAACCCTAAATTCGTATGCCAATGTAACTAAGTGCAAAGTTTTTTTACAAAATGTTTGGTGATAGAACTGGTTAAAGAAAAACCTAGGTTGAGAATATGATTCACAACACGAGGTGGATGGCCTGCAACTAAAGTAAATATATTAACTTTTCAGATTCATTTAAAGTTGAGACGGAACAGACAGACAAAATAGATATTGGAACAGAGACGGCGTCTGTTTTTACCTCATCGAGTAAAGCTGTTTTTTCTACGCCAAAACCTGGGTATATGATCATAACAAATATTCAGCTATATTTCGATTAGAATTTTCGTTAAAGCTCAGGGGCCGGTTGTTCAAAAATCGATTAGCTTAACCCTAGGTTAAAGCAAATCTTTACATACATTAAAACAAATCTTTACATTACAAATTGAATATCTTTTTTCATAAGTATTTTTTGGACTGATAGAAGTCATATTTTCTAAAATTTTAAACGAGCAGTGGTTCAGAAACACGTAAACTAAAACACTGGATTAAAATTTAATCCAGGGTTAGCTCTAACCTAGCTTTGAACAACTGTCCCCGGAATGACCAATATAGATAGACTTCAATTGCGCGTATTCCAGTCGTTTATAGAGGTCAATCTTTGACGGCGCCCGCCCACCATCTTTGTTCCTCGAAATCAACGTTGCGATTGACTTCAACCATCTGGAACAAATTGCTAAAATACAAAAGAATAGAGTCGCTTCGCGCGAAAAATATCGCTAGTGGAAAACTGGCTTAGAAAAGATGTGAGGTCACATGAGTAGGGAACAACCATGATAATAAAGGGTTTTTAACAGTACCAAAAATCTGTCTTTCTATTTTTCAGTAAAATTTCTCGCAAGCCTCAGTTGTCCTATGTCAGGCGAGGAAAGAAAGATGTTATGACTGAAAAAGAACGTCTTCGGAGAAAGAAAGTGAGGAGAGTTCTTTGCATGTGGATCTCGTAGATGGCCGGTAGCATATTGGCAGCATCATTTACATACCTATATCTTAGATTTTAATTTAGCACGAACAGTATGTAGCTTATTTGTGAATTGAACAATCCTTTGCTGCCCGCGTCGTTCACACAGTGCTGCTTTAGACCGAAGAAGTTTAACCCCCTGCAGCCGTTGCCCAACCCTGTTGTACCGCAAGTCATTGATGTATATCACTTGAGTCAGGAACAGTTTCTAGCTGTTTCCAGTTTACATGTTTTGTGTGCTCTTCTTTCGCGTAACGTTTTATTTGTTCGCCTGTGTGTTTACAGTATGCCACATGGTTTTCTGTAGATAATGAGGAGAAAAGTGCAGGCGATGTTAAGTGAACCACCTCGGGTTATTAAAAGGTATGAACGCAAGAAAACTCATCAAAGACACGCTCTAAAAACCTACTTGGCCTGGGAAAACATTCATTCCAATGATACTTGTGACGACCAAAAAGCGTCCGAGTAAATTGCTCTGAATGAATTGAAATTTAACGTGCACATTTCCAGCGCAGACGGCTGATGCTTTTTCTCTTTGTTTAATAGATCAAAATCATTGCAATTTTTATCCAATGAAAGGTAAGTTTATGGTTCTATGTGAACAGCAGCGTCGTTTTCAAGATGATTATCAGGTATTGAACAGAAATAAATGTGTATATAAATAAAGTTTTCGAAATATTTTCAAATAAAGATATCGGGTTTGCGGGTGAAGTGAAAATATTTTGTGATTTTTGTATTCAATGTATTTACCGAGAAAGCTTCTAATCCGTTCCAATAGCAAATCATCATTTGTATTTGCAGGACATCTCATTTCTCGGTTTACGTGTTCCTTATCACACTATGCACTAACATACACTGCTTGATTTTAAACTTCAAGAAGTCTTTAGGATAAACAAAGGTTTTACTTTTCTATAGAGGGCTGACTCGTTCACGAAGTCTTCCTTGTTTGTTCGATTATAAAGTTTTGGATAACGAAAACATGTAAGCATAATCTTGATGTCTTATCTCTCTCAGCAAACTATTTTTGCTTCAGGCATGTGTGGGTGATGTTTATCCCAAGTTATCATTCCAGCTGTATTAGAGTTCAGTGAATCTTATCTACTTACGTCATACCAGGCTCGTTCAAGTTAGCTAAATTTCCCCCACTCGTTCAGACTTATATTTTCAGCGGACAACTTACATAAAATTGAGAGCAGTGCGTAAAACGAAAAGTTTTTAAATTTTTATGCGAAGACCGCTGGAAAACTGAGCCCTCTGTACTGAGAGGAGGTTTGCCGAATATGAGCAACGTGTACGTTGACTTGTTTCTAGGACTGGTGATGATTTATTCTTCTGGGTTCAAGATGAGTATTGGTACAAATGGCTTGATGAGGTTTATCCACCAAGTTTGGCGACTCCAGATATTCTCAGAGGTAATTCAACACCTATCACTCATTACTTCATGTTTATGGGTCGCTCTATAGTTTCTGAAAAGATTCCAAGGTGTATCTAGGTAGTGGAGTTTTCCAGATCACGGTGCCACCGATTATTCCATGAAATAGACCTTTCTCAATGCGAAAGGGCTGATGTTACACGACGTTTGATTGGTCCATTAGTTTTTCAGAGCCAATCAAACTCCGTGTAATATCGCGTGACTTCATTATGAGAAAAGTCTTTTAAGTGCTTAAGTGATTTCTTCTGTATTTCGTGTAGACATAAAAAGCAGCTTATCTGACGTTGAAATACCAACCAGGTGCGTTTAATAAATAGCCTAATGTATTTAAGCAAAATTTCGCACTGATCTACATTTCATGGAGTGTTTTTAATTTCTTGTAGTGCCATTTCGCCCAATATTTTGGACGAAGTTGAAGTAATTGAACCACATGTTGATGAGTCAAGCAGACAGCTTTACGAGGTATATTGAGTCTCATATATATTCTTCATGTAGAATGACCGAATGATATCGAATCGATCTTTAAATGCGATTGTTGGAGGTTTTCTTAATCTCTATGGACAGATGATTCCATACAAAATGTTCTAAGGCAATAAAAAATAGAAAATAAGACATACACGTGTTACGTGAATCTTATAAAAATACCAGGCCTGATTACTCACCAACTCAATAATTATGGTCTATCCAATTAATAATCAAGTCTAATTCTTTCCCAGGACCTAAAGAAGGAGGTGGAAAAGATTTCTGATTTGATCGACGAGGCGGAGAAACAAGAAACGCTTGCCTTATATTTAGCAAGACGAGGGGCAATCTACCGAAAGGTTTGTTCTTTCCGCATTCCGACCAAAATCTTTGCATAAAGTTAGAAAAAATGCGATGTGTATCTACTAGGTAATACATATATAGGCTTAAGCTATATACCTAGCTATATAACCTTCCCCACGTCTGATAGTGAATCTTTGTTTCTACCGTAGCTGGGTCATGTTAAGAAAGCCTGGGAAGACCTTGAACGGTGAGTTTACATAACATGCATGCTTGTTTAATATACCATTACGGCGAGCAGGTACAAAAGGAGGACGCTTGTAGAGATTCGTTTGCAGTCACTCATTCTTGACATAATAAACTGACTAGATAGACTTATAAACTTTAAACATATAAATATAAACTTTGCGAGAATGCCTTTCGTAAACTTTTACACCAAAAACGAGGTCATGCAAATTTTTTTGAGATCACAAAATAGTAGGCCATTTTGAGACCCCATGAATACTGTAGCAATGGAAGTGGCATTCAATCAGCAAATTCCCATAAAAAACATCCAATTTAATGGTACTACAACTGGCTGAAAAATATAGCTATGTACGTAAACTTGCCATGCATTTTGCCTCTGCCTTAAATTTTTCGCTATTTGAGAATGATAGAAACATACCCACTATTGCGGTAGTCTAGCAGATAGTAATTGGGATTTCATGTCACTAAGTTTAATAAATTCTTTGTTTCTCATACGCTATGCTTCACAGCTCGATCGAATTAGAACCCCAACTTTTAACCAATCGTTGGCACCGACATCTATTGCATCTTTTGAACAATAACCCAAAGGTGAGATCAATGGTTATGCATGTTCCGTGAACTTTAAAATGTAGTGTCGATCGAAGTTGCAACTTGGGTTTTGCCGACAAACCTAATTACAGGTTCTTGAATTATGTGTTGAAGAAATATTGCTAACGACCTTCGTTTGCGTGTTTTAGAAAGCGTTGGAAGATTTAACTTACATAACGAAGAAAAACAGCAATATCGTGAAAGTATTTTTATCAAAGTGAGTGCTTTGATTTATTTATAGAACGAAAATGAACAAATCTCGGGCTCATGAGCTAATGTGAACATAAGGCAGGGTCATAACCATCCAACCAAAAGAGCACTACACCAATCTCACTTTTCTTATAGTCTTTGGCATTTAGCACTATGCATTGATGATAGGACGTGTTTTTTTTGCTTTACGCGTCAATTGATATACTCATAAAACGCAAGGTATTTGGTATGTCATGTACTTTTAGGGCGGAGATCTACAAGAAACAGGGTGACAGCACAATGGCGATCCTAAATTATTCTCAGGCCATCAAACTGAATCCTGGCGATGCTGACGTCTATTATAACAGAGCGGCGTTGTTTCTAGACGTACGAATAATTCACTCATTCAGTTATTTCCTTCTGCATGGACACACACTGTGTTCATGCAGAACATGATAGCGATTGGGGTTTTTGAATATTTTCATTCCTTGCAGAAAGGAGACGTTGTTCTTGCCTTGGAGGACTATAAGAAAGCATCTGAGCTACAACCCAGCAGAACAGATGCCATGTTTTACATTGGTAAATACAATTTCAACCAAAAGTAAGTTTCCTCCGAAAAGAATTTGGACATGCTTTAACTGCTTGAATTAAACACTGTTTCAAAATGTTTCACTTGGAAACTCAACTATCGAATGCAGGATTTTTTTTTAATTGTAAAATTTTGCTAAAATGTTAAGCATGGTTCAACCGCTTGTTGTACTTGTAAACACTATAAGAAACATGTTTGCACTCTTAAATAGCTACCAATAATCTGTTATCTGTACTGAAATGCGACTGGTCCGATCTCGCCATGTTTACCGTATAAAGGAAAGCCTCTAAGGGGCTGTTTACATGAGCCCGGTTACCCAAGATTCAACGAAGCGTGAGATGATTTTGAGGTATTGAACTGAGCAGATAACATGATCCTGGCAGTCGTATAATCACCACAACAATAGCATGTGCTTGTTTGGTGTCATCATAGATTCGTTGAATCTCGGGTAACCAGGCTCATGTAAACAGCGCCTTAGTTAAACATTTTTAGTTGTGGTTAAAATTCTTAATTTTTAGAATTATGTATAACTTTTTCCGTTTTCAAGTCATTGGCCGGCTGCAGTGAAGTGTTTTACAGCCATGCTAAAGCAAGATCCTTTAGATGCAAAAGCGTACTTGTTCCGGGGAAAGGCCTTTGCAAAACAGGTAAAAGTTCTATTGGTGTTGTATTCATGATGATAATAAATTAAATTAGAGAGATAATTATTGCACTACAAGTTTAGCTATAACAGTTGTTGCAAGTTGTAGAGCTATAAAGTAGCTTCTGCGCATGGTCGCGTGGCAACCAATCTTTGATTGGCTCATGCCCTTCCGGAAATTTCTTAGTCTTCCAATGGGATCTATCCATGAAGGGCGCTTTCTTTTCAGGTGCCAAAATGGTCAAATCGGTGATATTTTGAAACGAAAAAGAATATTTCGTCACGAAAATAGCGTTGAAACTGTATTTTCGGGCTAGGCAGATGTAAATAACGATACACTTGAATCCAAATTCTTGAATCACTCTAAAATTCAAGCAATCTGTCTGCACTAAAATACAACAGCAGGTCCAGTTTTTATCGTATATATAGATAGGAAAGCTTAAAACCTTGTTTATCGCAGGGAATTTTCAAGCCAGCCCTCAAAGACCTTTCGTCAGCTTTACATTTGGACCCAAGAAGTAGCGAGGCTTTCTTTCATCGTGGCTGTTTACTTCGCAAGTAAGCTAAGATGATTTTGCTCCATCGATTGTCTGTTGTTGTTGTTGTCGTTAATGCTGTTGTTGCTGTTGTTGTTGTTGTTGTTGTTGCTGTTGTTGTTGTTTTTGTTGTTGTTGTTGTCTTATCGTAAGTAAACCATATTTCTTGCTGTCAGGATCAACCCTCAAAAGGCTATTCAAGATTTAAGCGTATCGTTGTTATTGGACAGCAGCGTCGATAACGTGAATGCGTTTTTACATCGCGGAATTATTTACACAGACTTAAAACGGTAATAATTATTATTCATCCTCGTAGAAAAAATCATTGTTTACAGATGACTTCCTAAGCTATTTGTACGTCTAAATTATGTAATTGAATTTAGCAATTAGTCGCCGAAGGCGAGCGGTGAATACAAGCCAATTTTCACTTAATTACAAGCTAATTTTCATTTATAATTACTTCTTCAATTTCTCATTCCAAAAAAACACACACAAAAAAGCTATAGTCACCGACCAGTGACTATCACTTCAAAGACAGTAAAACTTGACCAATCAGAATGCAGGAAAATCAATAGTCACCTCGAAATTTATATTAATAGAGAGCTACACTAATAGAACATATGAGTTACATGATTGTTGATTTTTCATTCCTTTTTCACACACTGGACCAAATACCTTGGACGTTTTCAACAATCGCAAATATTTAACCACACAATCTCCATGATATATACACTGTTTTGATTTTATAATCTCGACAATTCAAAAAAATACTCTTATGTCTATAATACCCCGGGTTAAATGCGGTACTTATCATTAACCTAGCTTAATGCAAATAAACTATAACAAAGAACATGCTGTATGTAATTTAATCTTTTTGTGGGTTCGCCAGAGCTGAGAATTTAACAACAATATAAATGATATAATCTTAGTATTAATAATCAATTATCAATAGAATACAAAATCCTCTTTCTATTTCCAATTTATCTCTGTTTATCTTTGTTTAGATGGGACGAAGCCGTTTGTGATTTTGAGTTTGCATTACGACTGGACAAATGCATTGCCTGTGCGCATGTCAATATCGGGCTCATCATGATTACAAAACATGAGAGTTATGGCAGGTAAACTGATTATGATCACTGAACTCAAGAAAGACTGGAACGATTTATCCGTCGCCATTTTGAAGCCGAATCTAAGGCCGCCATAGCACGTCACGGGTCGAAAACACGTCGCCCCATTTTCTCTTGGTGAAAATCTAAATAGAATAAAGTCTGGAGAGTTTCAACCAGTGGCGTAACTGGAACGATAAATTGGGGGGGGGGGTAATATTCATATATCCAGTTCTGCCCTACGCATTTCTTTTGTAAGTGCAATAGCTTAAAATTGCAAGAATTCGACCGTAGGGGATTCCCTTCACCGATCACAATTGAAAAGAAAATCGAGCGAAAAATTTCTCTTCGATTGAAAAACTAGTGGATCGAAAACCGACTGTCTCAAATCACGGGATGTGCAACAATTTTTTTTTGTAATTCCCTTTTTTTATTTCTATTTTCAGAGCAATCAAACGGTTTTCAGCTGCAGTTCGTGTGGATCCCACCTACGTGCGAGGTTATGTTTGTCGCGCTGAGGCTTATGATAAACTTGGCCATGTATGTTTCTTTCTTTCTGATTATGATGTGGTTGGAGTCTCGATCCAACGTATGAGGAAAAGGGGGGGGGGTGGTTAACCTGGGTAGGGGTCCGCATTGCCCGACTCTTATGTTGATTCCATTCTTCGCAGCTGAAAGAAGCCATCGATGATTTCACTAGGGTGATTCACTTAAGACCAGTGGTTGCTGATCACCGCATGTCGAGGGTGAGTGCGCAATGAACTGTCTTTAGTGTGTTGCTTGTTAATGCAGTAGATATTTGTAGTCCATAGAGCTATGGATAGAGAACCATACCTGAGAACCAAACCCACTTTTAAACTGCGAAAAACCACTGGCGGAGTGACGGGTGGGTGGGTAAAAAGGCGCGCAAAACGCCTTCCTAAATTTGGCATTTAACCGTCATTTTTAGTCTGAAACTCCACGTCGAAACGTGGTTTGTTGCTCGCTTGTTTGTGTGACATCAGTTTGATACCAAATTTCAATCAATAAGCTTCACAACAGCTAAATTTTTGTTGTTTTAGGGCAAACTTCTTCTGAAGCAAAACAAATTAGAACTCGCAAGTTTCCACATCAGGTAAACTGACAGTTCTTGTTTCATTCATCAGTGATCGCGACGTATTTATTTTTAATATGCTCTTTTGTTAACAGGCAAGCAGCTGAATTGAGTCAAGGTCTTGGTGGTTCAGCGACACAGCAAGCTATTGTTCACGCCTTTTTGCGTGATTATGACAAGGTACAGAGCAGATGTACAATGAAATGTATACGACTTCAGCACATTTTGTAACAACCAGCATTACTTTGCGTTATTTTCTTCGATTAGATAACCTTAAATGTTTTGTATAAACTAGGCTTTAGAACCCATGCACTTATTCCACCACCTATATGCCTTAGTAAGACGTCTCCAGCGAATCTTTTAAATCTCAAGACGTACCTGTTCAAAGTTCTTACTACATTTACAGACCCCTAATTGTGTATTATACGAATAAACTTTTATTTTCCTAGAGATCAGTCACACAGTAACATAATCTCATTTATTTTCCTTTCAGGCGATAGATATTCTCACGCGAGCAACGAGGATCACTCCCACTACGACGATGCTCATATTACTTGGCAAGACGTGCATGAAAGCCAAGGAGTTTGAGAATGCCATCGCTAGTTTCAAGAGAGCCATTTATAGCCTGGTAAGAACAAAGTTTTTCTAATGTATTCACAGCGAATTGGTCCAGTTCTATCAAGAAGATTTACCAGCGCGATAGAAGGCGATGTTAGAGTTTGGTAGCAGTAAAAACTGTAAAAGGGCTCAACTAAGAGTTCTATAACAATAGACCCTGATCTTTAAATTGATATAATTATTTAGTATTGACTGTATACGTTTGAATTATATTAATCTGAAATTATACTGAAATATTTCTAGACGCCTTGGCATCCGCGTATCCAGATGCCATTAGAAGCAGCCACAGTTTACTTTATGATTGGAACATGCTATACAGAGCTGAACAATCCCACCAGTGCATTGGACGCTTTCAATAATGCCATTAAAGTCAATCCAGATTATGCCGAGGTCAGTAAGAATATAGATTAAAGATTTCCTCTCCACGTGACCTCGTGTACTTGTATATTATTATATCCTCTATCAACCAACTAACTAGCCTTCCTGGAAAATTTACTCACGCGGTTCACGCATATCACAGATGAGAACGGCTTATTTTCAAACGATTTGCCATTTTAAATATTTCTTGCTTCGGAACTAGTAGCTACATCTTATTTAAGCTACGATTTTTCTGTCTTTGCAGGCTTACTACAATCGTGGTCTCACCAAAATGAAGTTAAAACATGCAAAGAGTATTCACGATTTCAATAGAGCTCTGGCTATTAATCCGAAATTATTCCAGGTTTGTTTTTCTCGGCAAGTGCAAACCGCGGTTTGAAGAGCAATGTACGTTCGTGTTATGTATATAACAAAGTTTTGATGTCTCAAAATGTGTCCTCTCTATGGACTCACAAAACAAAGAAATCTGCTATATATGTCTTCTTGCAACACTCATGTCCAAAATGGGAAGATTGTTCTTCAAATGAAAAGGCAATTTCCAAAGCACTTGCAAAAATCCGCCTGAAAATCGCACATATTCTGCAACTTTGCATTTTTGTAATAACTCCATATTGTAAAAATACGCTCTATGTATGGATATTACAACACAGCTAAATCTATGTCAAACACTCCATGATCTTCTTTGTGCAGGCGTTTTTAAGTCGAGCGGCATATTACGGTACAAAAGGACGATTTTCAAAGGGAATCATGAACTGTAATGAGGCCATAAAACTTCAGCCAAGAAGTGTCCGCGCTTACTTGTACAGGTAAATATTCGTATAGACAATAGTCTGATACTATCGGGGTGCCATTTCAACCCATATTCTATTCTTAATGTTTCAGAGGTGCTTTGAAATTTCACATCTCAGCATATAAGCTGGCCGTTCGTGATTTAACCGAAGCCATCGCCATTGATTGTACATGTTTATTGGCTTACTTCAACCGAGCTGTTTGCTATCAAGCTATGAAATACTATCAGAAGGTGAGATAAGAAGAGAATATCTCTTTGGACACTCTAAAAAACTTTACTTAATCGTTAATATTAAATTTGGCTGATGCAAAGTTTTGAAGCCTGGCTCACACCAATCAAAAGCTTATAGAAATCAGAGGAAAGCAACTACAGTGTGAATATACTTCGATATAATATTTCGATAAAATAATTTCAAAATAATTTCAAATAAAATAATTACTTGCATTTCTATTTTCAGGCTTTGATTGACTACAGCACGGTATTGTTAAGTAGTGAGGAACTTGACGTTAAGGTAATGACCATATTTACAGGATTTTATCAACATCCATAATTTTATTAAAGTATTAGATAACCAACTATATTGATAAAGCATACCTACCACACCCTATATACCATGTCCTACAATACCCAACCATATCCTGTCATACCCTATGCCCCCCATACCTTTTCATACCCCACCGTACCCTATCATACCCACCATACCTACCATATCCCATCATACCCTATCCATATAAGAATCCTCACCTACTCTACCGTGGAAAGAAGTGATCTCGGGTTGCGTTGACTATGGATGTGTTTCTCATTGATTTAGGTTTTACAAAACAGGGGTCTTCTTTACCTGGATATAGACGATATGGACAATGCCCTGATGGACTTTTCTCAAGCTGCGAAAGTATGAATAATTTCTTCTTACTGTGTACTTTGTGGATATAATTGACCTAAAATTATAAGTTTATTTATTTACCCAGGTCTCACCGAACAACCCAAAAATTCTCCACACGCTTGGATTGTGTTATCACAAGTAAGACTCGCTTTTGTTGTGTCTTTATAAACTCTGCCATTTGTTTGAACGGACGCCCTTCTTTCCGTATACCCGCTCCCATACATTTTCATATGTTCAGGTTGAATCGTTTACAAGACTCCGTCAAGTCATACACAGAGGCGTTACGGTGTGATCCGTTCTTCAAAGAGGCTTACATTGGACGTGGGAATACTCTGATGGACTACGGTCACAATGTTGCAACCCGTTATGCAAGGTAGGGGCGCTGTATGTTGTCATTTGTTTTTTTCATCTATGTCATAGGAAGTGAGGGAGAGGCAGAAAGAGTAACCTAAGAAGGGACAATATTGGGTTGTAAGGGATAGGGAGAGGACATGAGGACAAGCAGCATGAGCAGTGTGGGGCAGGGAGCAACCTGAGAATGGGGTTGGCGTGGGCGTTGGGGACATTGAGGCAACTTGAGGAGCAGCGACATTTTTAGCCGGGGAAGGGGGTAGGCGGGATAGCGTGGGTGGTGGGGGGAAGAAGGGCAACCTAAGGTGGGCAGCATGGGCAGTGAGGGACAAAGGGAGAAACACAAGGAGAGGTATGTGCAGTTGCGGACTATCGTGGAGAGCTCAAGCGCTAGTGGTGGCAGGCGGGGAGGGGGGGGGGTAGCTTCGACAGACATTTACTAAGGGAAGTATCATTTTGTTGTTATTGGGAGCAAAATATAAGTATTTGTGTCAACATAAATCAGAACAGAGAGCATGGCTTGGTCTTCTCCAACTTGTTTGTTAAAACGCCCGTGACCGCTAACTGAAATTCTTCATCAAAATTCAATTTAAGGTTTGACTACTTAAAGGCATTGCACATCGATCCATTATGTTTGCCAGCTCGAGTAAATCTTGCCTATAATTTACAGGTGAGACACTCGTACTTCTATAATAGAACAATATCGTCCGTAGTTAGTAGTGGAAATTACACTGCGATGGAGGTTTTTTTAGGACCCTCCTCCCTTTTTTTCTTCTGGAGGAAAAGCTTTACAGGGTGTCACAACCCAATGTGCATGCGGGGTTCCAGAATTCGCGTCTTGAACTGATATGAAGATGGTTATATCATGATTAGGTTGAAGGGAAATTCCAGAAGGCGTGGGATCAATTCACTGCTGCACTCAATATTGATAAAAGTAAATATCGAATATATTAGTTGTTCACGTACCTTGCTTTTTTTCTATTTGGTCGAGTGTTTGACTTGCGGATGTCTTATTAAACCTCAAACTAATGATTCGTTGTTTTCATTCCTAAGATTTTCAGGCAGCTTTAGAAGGTCGGGCGATTGTCAATCTTCAAATGGCCAACACGTTCGCTGCCTTTGTTGACATGAACGACTGCTTGAAGGTAACTTAATGAATGAGTACTATAATTATTAAATGATGCAAACCATGCACTCTCCCTCGTGAGGATAACAATAGCTCTGGCCGACAAACTTTATACAGACGATTGTATATCAGCTGTTCCTATCACAAATTTTCGTTTATCACAGATCATATTTTACTGATTTTACCGTCACGTACTACCATGCATCCATCAATACAGTAATAGTTTTACGATTTAATATATAACACACATTCGGAAAAACCATGGCTCAGCGTGGCATTGCAAGCATGCAACTGTCTAAAAAATACAGAACCAAACGTCTCAAATTTTTTTTTGTATATATTATATTTTGTATGTATATTTTTTTAGATTTCAAAGACTGCAGAACTGTTAACTAATAGAGGCGTTGTTCAACAGGTTTGATGAATAGTTTTTACATTTAATTTGTTCTTTCAAAACTTCAAACTTTGGACTTCGCGATATAACGGAAGGGTTTCATAATGCCTTCTATTATGCTGTTAGATGTCGGGCAAATTGTCTATAAGAAAAAGTGTGTGTCACTATGTCAATGAGTGATTTGTGTTTTCTTAAGCATTCGTACAGAGCCAATTTTTAACGTTAACCAGTCTGTACGTAAACAATAATCCATCATCCCTTCTTAGGGTGTAAAATTTAATGATTTGAAAGGACCTCCTTAAATGGATCGGCTGTAAATGATAATTTCAGCTCTCTCATACTTCACTCACACAAATGACGAGCAGGTTATAATTGTTCACATATTTTCTATTCCAGTTCATGGGTGATACGGTAAACGCGATGCGAGATTATCAAGCCGCAATACGTTTGGAACCGTGTTATTCCTTGGCTTATTACAACGCGGCTAATCTCTACTTTAAACAAAGACAGTTTCAACAGGTAGAGTCTTCGCCAGGTTTTAATAATGACACGGGACAACTTCACATTGGAGAACTTAACGTGATCAGGACGGCAGCAGCTGACAATAAAAGAATATAGTAACTTATGAATCAGTTAGATGCCTTTCCTGTCTTTGTGGCATGTTTACTCTGTTCTGAGATATGCACTTGTCTTTTTTCTAGGCTTTATCCTACTATGAAAAGGCGTCGTCGTGGAATCCACAAGATGAAAGCGCCGTACTGAATGCTGCTATTACTAAGGTTGGTCACGTTGTTGTTACCATGTCCTAGGTGGTCTCGCGCTCATATTTTAGCCAATCAACGATCAACACGGTTGTTTCATCCATTTTGAAATTTAATCTATTACATCTTTTGTTACTCTTTATGAAACTATTCGAAATTTTGTGATTATGTTTAGTTATAAGAACAATAGCTCTCACAACAATTCAATTTGAAACCGAAAAAAGTATATCGCAAGAGATATCAAGTTGTTTCAACCGAGAAATTTATTTTGTATGATAACTAGCTCCAGTCCTTTCTCGCCATATTTGACAGCTGAGACCGGTTGTTCGAAAGGCGTTTAGCTTAAACGGTCTCTTATTAGGGGCAAATATTTCAAAAATAATTTAATTAACATCAAGCTCCTGTATCAAGCCCTTATGTGTATGGACTTTTTCCCTGGCGTCCTGGAAGACTAATAAAGGCGTATATATCAATGCTTTGCTATCTGTCTCTAAACGCTTACTTATACTTATTATTAGGTTTTACTAAAGCAGTTCGATTCAGCACTATGTGATTTCCAAAAAGCAAGTGAGTAGTAGACTTCAGCTGTTATACCATTAGATAAACATCTGATGCCTTGCAAAATGTATGCGGTACCTGTAATGGAAATGGAATCGTTGATAACATATAAACTGTTCATATTTTGTTTTAGTTGAATTAAGTCCATACTCAGCTCACATTTTTCTCAATCGTGGCAATCTGTATGCCTCACTTGGTCGGTATGAACAAGCAGAAAATGATTACACTCATGGTATGATTTTATGTATACATCTATAGCTTTATAAACAGGCTTTGACATATCTACAGAAAAATTACAATATAAATTTATATTTCTGATTTAAAAGTTTATTCACTTTAATTACTTTTTTATTGACTTTTTTTCCCATTTTGCCTAAACTTGTTTTTGGTTGCATATTTTAAATATGTCAAGGCATTTTAAAAAACTTCGAAATACATTATGTTATTAAATGATGGGATTCATTAGCCTTAAGTTACCAGTTTTCTTTTGTTTAAGTTTGACGTCATGTCCGATTTGACTTCATCTCCGGTAACTTTAAAGGCTAATAAATCCAGCAAGATGTATTGCAAAGTTTTTTAAAATACCTTAAACTTTTGATATATCCAAAATCCGCAACTATAGTATAGGCACTTTAAGCCAATTAGAAACTGAATTGGAGGGCCAGTGCCAGTTCTTTTCTATTGCATGTGATGATTTGTGAACCTGAGATGGGATAGCATGTGAACATTTGCCGACAAAAGCAATAAAAAGGGACTGGCACTGGTCATTGATTCGGCGTTAAATTGAAATTGTCATGAAATATCGTGGCGAATAACCGTCAATTGTCGTTCCAATCTAAATAGAGTTCACCTGTTTGCATTATCTCTCTGCAGCGTTAGAGCTCAGACCAGGTGATGCGCTGACCTACAAACGGCGTGCTGACGTGAGAGGAAAATTGTCCAGGCGAGAGGAAGCCATTGAAGATTACAAAATGGCGATCGTTATTCAAACTAGTGCAAAGCAAAGATAACCTTAATTTTAACCACTAAGATTTTTCTAAGAGTTGAACGACGTTTTTTAAAGCAAATTGTTAATATATATATATTGTGTATAGTATTTATTCATGTAATTTTAATATGTGCAGATTATAAATTATATGGTAGAGGTTTGATTTTGCGATAGCGTTTGGTCGTGACTTGAAGTTACAATCGTATTATAGTTGATGCGGATATTTTGAACCATGTAGTCGACAGGACGAGAAACCTTTTCTTTCCACCATTTTTAGGTAAATAGGTGTTTATAGGTAAATAGGTATCGAAAGATTACTAATGACAATTTTTTATAATATAAATTTTTTATAGCTACTTTGTCTTTGCAAATTACAACTTGGGTACTTCTAAAAACCGATTTCTAAACATATCCCCCGCAGTCATCAACCTTGATCTTTATGTTTTAGAACGGAAATCGAAGAAAAACGTGTTAGCTGAGCTCTATGCAGAAGAAAAATTACAATTGCCAACGCGCAAATTTTCCGTCCCCGTGTGGATATTTTGACAACAAGATGAATTCTCTCACGATATAATAAGTATAACCATTTATAGCCCAGATAGCTACATGGGCCTCAGTCGCTGAAACACGTAAATCCGTTTGCTGAATTTATCATTTTAATAGTCATAAATAACTACAACACAATTTACAATGAATGATATTTAAGGTTTAACAGGCAGGTATTGTAATTCTCCATTTCATATTTTATTTAAATCGGGTAATTTGTTGTACCCGCTTATTAAAAAATTTCAACTTCGCCTCAGAGGCGGTCACTCTATCGCATATGTAGGAACATACACAGATTTGACAACTATTCTACTTTATAATAATTCACAGCTTACGAAAACCCGCATGGCTAGTTACTACAAGGAATTGGCTGGTTAGCTAAGGCATGTTTCAGACGTCTAACTTTTTACGTTCCGAATCGAATGCAAACGAACTTAAAAACTTAGCGCATTAAATTAGGTTCCGGCACATTTTTTAGGAGAAACAATAACTACATCATGCTACACGCAAAATTCAAGATGCTTTTTTGAATCTATTTCAAGGTCATTCTCGAAGCTGGAACGACATACAAATGACTTAGTAATGGTACCTCAGAAACCTGATGAATTTGAAAGATGAATGTTTTATTCTCGGTGATGTCTTCTAGTGCTCTAGTATAAAGAACAGAAAAAGAAAAAAAAACGAGGTAAAACATGGTTTCCGTTTTGTCGTAATTGTCATGAACAAGTCTTTTCACCGATGGGAAATAGCCCGGATGTAGATTTTTCTTTATCTCTGTATTGAAATAATCAAATTGGCACACACATATAATGATATATGTATGTAGAAATATTCTATAACATCAGCCACCTTGACATCTTATACGACAATCACGAGTAAATGGAAACCAAGTTTAGGTAAACGACAAGGGTGGATGATTGTGTGGAACAGCACTACATCACTCGTGTATAACTACCGCTGTAACATAGACAATTAGGTTATTCGAAGTTGTGAATGACGAAGTGAAAAGCATGCAAAATAAAGCCAAACTTGTCTCACCTGTGTAAATCCTACCAAAAACTCTCTAAACCTTAACATTTTAATTTTTCTCTATGGAGTGAAATGAGGCCATTTCAACGGATATTGTCCTTCAAACACATACAACATACGAAGGCAAACCTTGTCTCTCCTGAGAAAAATTCCAAGTTAAACCGGTTGAACCTGTCCGTCAACAGACATAACCTGTAAGTCCTGTTGTGCCTCGCGTACGGCGCGTCTGTAAGCTCCGTGTTTCTGTTTCTTGAAGAGCTGTTTGAAATTCTCCTGAAATGTCACTAGGAAACTACACGATATTTCCGAGGTTGTTGTGGAACCGTACCAAGCCACCTTAACAAAGCCAGCTTCGCTCTCAGAGGCGTGACATAGAATACCCAGAATACGCCCCGGCCACCAGGGGTGACCGTGGACCTTACCCCATACAACATCTCCCACTCTCATCTCCTGGTTATGATTGCGGGGTTGCACCCCTCTATTAGCATAAGCCTTGTTGCCGTTGAAATGCTTGCCCCTAGAGTTCTCCTCTATCGTGTTTATACTCGGGGGTGTGCTGGGCCGCTTTGTGTAAACCTCGATCAGCGATTCCCCGTTTGGTAAAGAAAAGTACTCTTCATTCTGTTCGTTTGATCTACTCGGGATTTCCGATTCTTCAGTTTGATTTGACCGCTTTTTGCCTTTGAATCGAGTGTTGTGTTTATGAGTAGTTTTGTCTTGTGATGTTTCAGAGTTCTCATTTGATTTCACATCATTCTGTCCATTTAAATTGCCGTTCTTTTCCGAAAGAAGCGCTACGTAACTATTTGCAGATCCGGCTGTACGTCTGAGTTTCAATACGGGAAAGAGTGGAGATAAATTGGGTGCTAAAGATAATTTTGAGTCTATTGAATCTTCATCGTTTTTCGTCATCTTCGGCGAGGTCATTGAATTCGCACTTGTCCTTTTTCGTTTCACCGCCTTCAAAAGCGTCATTTGGGGTGATTTTAGAGGTTCTGAGGTTGGACTTGGGCTTTCCTCTCTTTTAGCCGCCTGTCGTTTTCGGGGAGTTAAAGTTTTGACCAAACCTCGGATTTTGTTCACGGGTGTGATGATTTCATCTGCGTCACGTTGATCTTGCGAAAGCATTCTTGAGCTGCGGGTGCTAACCCGAGATGCAGGCATCGGCAGTTCGTCTGACTCGCAGGTTACCGCCCGAGCTGCTGTCAGGCACAGGTTTGAGGGGCTGTCATCATCGTTGTTGATGGCTTTGGATACTGTGGCTCTGTATAAGTGAGAAATTATTAGAGTGGAATCTAGGTAGTGATGAGAGGGCAAGCAAGGATTTTGGGGAACAGGCAAGGATGTTGAGGAAGAGGCAAAGATGTTTGGGTACATGCAGGGATGATGTTGTGGAAAAAGGCAAGGCCAAGGATGCTGGCCGGGGGACAGCAAGGATGTTGGGGGACATGCAAAATGAAAAGTGGATGAGAATCCAAATGGAGAGGGATGGAGAAAGGGAATGGGGAAGAGTAAAAAGGCCTAAAAGGATCATGTATATCCTAGCTTTACTTTACTGCAGTAAAATTTACTAAAAAGCAAGAAACATACTGTATCATAACAATATAATGAATGAAGTTTATTATGAAACATTCTGATAAAACAGACATCTTGTAAACTCTAAAAGATGCAATTATTCAATTGGTGATAATTCAACACTATTATTTCACAATCATTCTTGACAATGGCAACTGCCAATTGCATGTTAAATGAAAGATGTTGACTAGAAAGTCATATATGAAAAGGACCCCATATAATTGACGATCTAAACTGGCAAAAATTGTCAGTCGTTCATACTTTGTATCAGAGCTGGTGCTACACTGATTGCAACCATAATTTTTCACAGCCTATATTATATTCCTTAATTTGGATTCCTTACATTTCTGAGTTTTAGAATATAGAATCAATTTTGATCTGTTAGTAGATATGCTACATATAGTCTTCTTATTTATTGTTAATCCATTTGAAGGCAATTTTTGTCTATAGCCATTACTTTGTTATTTATCTGAAATATTTCAGAGTAAATATCAACTATTGTTAGTGATTATTAATGTTAAAAGAAAGTAAAAACAACATAATTTACTTTCCATGTAGAATTATGTAATCCCCTTTGGAACATCAGGGCTGACAAGTATTCATTAATTGTGTAGCAACTTATTTGCAGGAATTCATAAATATCTCTGAATTGAAATATGATACAGCATACTGCAAAGCTATGATCATAAGGGTTTGCTTTATTTTAATTACTAGATTTTGTATTGTGTAACATTTAACATAATGTAATGATCATTGGCTTGAGTATAATTATAGAAAGGTATAGTCATGTCTAGAAAAGATATAAAGCATTATTTTGTACATCAGTTTCATAGCTAAATAAACTAGCCTTATTTCAATCCATCGACCAGCCAGTGCCATTTATATATAGATACAAGCATGATGCATGTATAAGCCAATACATTAATTCTGTCATGGCAATTTTATTTATAGGCTTTACCTAATCTACTAATGATAGATCATCCCATTTAATAACAAACATGCAAGTGTATACAACTGTCTTATACACAGTCATGCATGCAGCTGTTGGGAAATTTCATATTAATCACATAATGTATCAGCATTGTAAGATATACAGATAGTCATATGATATTTTGGTCTAGCTGTAATAAAAATATCAATGTATATTTTAGAAAGACAACATCTGAAAGTAAATAGGCTGAACTAAAAGAATAAAATGCCATGTTCATGCTGAAAATATCTGTATGACCATAAACATTGATGTGTGGCAAGCCATTACACAATATTTCATGATGTTGAATCAAATTGATTTGAATGAATTGTAAATTATTTTAATAGAATGTATGGGGTACTCTAGATGCAAGAAAAACCTGACACATAGTTGTAGTAGAGTGAACCTAATAAAATATGTTGTCTGGCATTGTTCACTAATGGTCAGCACAAGCTAGCCACATGCTTCCTACTCATATCTAAAATATTGACAAGCTTTGAATTTGTAAAAAAAGAGCCAGTCTTTTACAGGCTTCTCGGGCTAGCTATGTGTTGTGGTATATCACTACCTGACAACTTGAAGAGCACAGACATGGTTCAATAATCATGTACCATTATTACCTGGTCACAGTGTGGCTTGTTTCATGTAAGAGAACACCCCTGAATGTCTTTCCTTCTTCTTTGTATGAAACCAAAATACAGGTAGGAAATGCCTGTTCAACTAACACAGAGATCTCCTTTCCTCTTTCAACCTCTTTGGTCATGACTGGACACACTGTAGTTCTCTTCTTGAGATACACTAGACCACACTTTAAGTTGTCTTATTTATAATAATTGATCCTTCTAATATATTCAAATATCCACTAATTATATATGCCATATAAATAGAAAGCAATGGGCCTTTGGCAAGGTGGTTTAGCTATAAATTTCAAACAGGAACTCACAGAAGTTCAGCCCCTTCACACAAAGCAAAACAAGGGCGATCACAGCGTTTCCTGGCAATCAAAAATGACTTTTACTCTGTTAAACACAGTTCTACACAACAGCCAACACTAAACACCAGTTCTTGCTTTTGTGCTCCATCTGGCCACAGCACGCATGACAACGAAACTCTTTCTTTTAAAACGTGATAATTTTTAATTTAAATAAATTACCGAACATCTATAAACTACATAAAGAGGATCGCTAGTTATTTCGAAGTTAAAACTTCCGAAAAACCTGTTAAAACAGAATTACGTTTTTCTAGATCATCGATCGATGTGCAAATTCTCCCTACAGTGAGACAACAAAGCTTGGTCAATTGAAATTAAGTTTTAGGTAGCTTCTCAAAATGCGTTCAAGTTTTTGAAGATGAATGCCGAAAATTACAAATTGTGCGAAAAGCTTATTCCTCGTAGTTATGTCCGGCAAGGGGAGAACGCGAAAAAAAGCCAGGAAAAGAAGATTAGGACATTACTTGAACATGTAAGTTTTACGTATATATTGGCCATGTGGTGATTCATGCAGACAGTTTGTTCAGTATATAAAAGCGATTATGTCCATCCATATTTAAAAGGTAAAAATTTGCATAGCTGTTTAAGTATATCTTCATATTAGGAAACCGTAGAGCTAGTCATTTGTAATTAGATTGGATGCATCTCATAGACATATTTTCATTCAAATAGTGGACCTCCAAAGCTAATGAATGGGATCAGAGCATTAGGGAACTCAGTGGGAAGGTTGTGTATTTGGGAAGTTTGCTCTGTGGAATAACCATTCACAAACAAACCTGCAGGGCATCACCTGGTTGACAGAAATTAAAAGCTTAGATTCACTTGATTTTTGGTTGGGTATTTTTTATTAAATCAAGCAAGCAAGTTTTCTCATGATTTCACAGGACATCTTTTTTAAAATGATGAATTTGAATATATCAGTAGCATTGATAAGCCCTAGAAACTTCTCTGTATTATATACAACATAATATGCTCATTAATCCATCATAAATTCACTAGATCACAATTATGTTTCCAACTTCAAAAACGTTTGCTAAAATTCTAAATTATCATTATGCATGCAATCATTTGTTGGAATGTGTAAGCCTAAGGTGCCGCAAATCAAACCAACTAGAACACTAAGAGCAGGCAACTATCTAGAAGTATTAAATGTCTGCATACAATTTGAAAATATGAACTAGTGTGTATTTTTATTGTACACATATAACAACATTTGCTACATATCAAGGGACACAATCATGCACATCTTTACAAAAAGATGAGAGATTTTTAACACCTATAGTTTTACAATGTGATACTGATTTTCTAACTTGCAAAATAACATGAATGGATTCACTAGGATGTCTAGGGGGGACAACCCCCCACCCCCCCCCCCTAACCTAGTCCAGAGTGCAATTGGGTGTTAGTTTTGGGGATTATCTACGATAATGAGTGCCCAATTATAATTGTACTTAAAAATTTAGAGTCAATTTCATGCAGTTAGAGTTAACTTATCATCCCTTCCCCCATAAAATTTAGTCCCTGTGAAATATCTTGATAATTATATACTCACTAAGATGTTTATTTCCAGAGCCTTATAGAAGGTTGGGGTCCTCAGGAAAAAACCAATTTGAAAGAGACATGGCCCCAGGGCAAATTACCTCTTCCACCCATCCCTATTTCATTTTGTTCATGTTTCATCCTGATTTATTGCATAGCATAAGCTGCCAGAAGATGGATGGGATGAGTTGACCATTGATCTTCTGTTGAAAGAATTATCAATTATGGACAGCAACAATTTTCAAGGTTATTTTAAGATTTGTGTAACATTTAATCAATATACTGTTAATATATACTGTAGTTGACATGCAGATTATGTATGATCTTGAGTTGAGGCAATAATTGACACATTCATAGTCTGATTGGGAAGAAATGGTTCATCATGGACTCTACCCCACAATTGTCCATTATTGCCCACCCCCCATGGCCTAACTGCTTCAGACTATCCCGATATTTTTCTGGCCAAAGCTATATAATTATAATAAAGCAGTCTATTTTTGGACTAAGTTATTTCTCCAGCTCTGTCAACAGGTCAGGAATGATTGAGGAAACTTAATCAGGGACGCTGGAAGGATCACATTGTTAGTTGGGCAAAAACGAGATTTGAGGGCACTTATAGAGTGAAAATTAATAAAAACAAATGAAAATCCCCTCGTTGAACTTAATTCATCACGAATTACAAATCCTAGTTTGCCAAGAGAATTACTAATTTGCAAATGTATCTTTAAAAACAACCAGGTAATGTTGGTGCTGGTGAAAGAGAAGGACGAGTAGCAAGTAGTTTGGTGTCACGAAGACATTACGGGTACGACTCTTTCATAATTTATAAGACTTGATAAAGTGCTGATATAGCGCCATACAGGTTGAAAATATGTTATGAGTTATGATTAATTTTATGATCTTTCGTTTCCCTCAGTTTTAGTCATGGCGTGGGTCGTTCTGGTGACATCACCGCTGTTCAACCTAAGGCTGCAGGCTCATCTTTGATACTAAAATTGACTTCTGCGATGGCATTGGACGTTATTAAGTTGACAGGTACTCGTGCATATATTTATTTGACTACCTACAACAGTGGAAACAAAAAACGCATTTGTTCCAGTTCTGAAGCCACTGTGAAATTTGATGCCAAAATGGGCGAACGTCTTTGAGTGAATACTAGGACGCTTTCCTTTAAGTGACCAAACTGGTCAAAACGGTCATGTTATACATCGAAATAGAGTATTTCGTTAAGAATACAGTGATGAAAGTGCATTTTCCGAGCTAGGCAGATGTAAAAAACGATAAAATTGAATGCAGATTTCTTGAAACACTCTAAGATATCAGTAATCTATCTGTACTGAAATTTAAAAGGACTGGTTTGGCCAATTTTACTCTATAAAGGAAAGCACCCTTAGTTGACATAACTAGCTATAGCGATTCTGTAATTTGAAAGTAATTTGAAAGTGAAAGTGCCTGTTGAAATTTACACAAAATGGAATATGAATAATTTTGTCGTGAAGTTATCTTTGTCGATAATTTTGAAGTTTTTCTCTTTGGCACAAACAATGTATTACACTTTCTTTTGCATGTTGAGAATTTTTGGTTCACAGTTTATTGCTGTCGAAATCTCCCTTGTCGATATTTAACAGTCGCGCTTTATAATTTCAACGCGAGGAATTTTTCGGCGATGTTAAAAACTTGGGCGCCATATGTAGCTATTTCAAGCTGGATTAAAGCCGAATTGGAAAACAATGACGGTCATGCACTTTCTATCGTTTAATGATCGTTTTTAGGTGTCCGAAGCGCTACGTCATGTTTGGTTTTACCGGTAGCAACGGGTATGAGTATTGTGATGACGTTGTTGGCACTTCGTCCCATGAGACCAGGAGCGAAATACGTGCTGTGGCCAAGGATTGATCAAAAATCGTGTTTTAAGTCCATCGTTACCGCTGGTAGGTCATTTCGTGTGTGTTAATACTGTAAAAGTCACAAGGATATTTTTGCTGTAATATTCGCGGTTCTCTTCTTTCAAAAGATCTGATCGGGGAGATAAGTAACCGCGGTGTTACTTACACACACTTACACAGGGCACTTACACACTAAGTATTTATAACTATACACTCGTTTGGATCTTTTAAGAGAAGAACATCGCACCGGCAGCATAAATCTATAGTAAATTTCTTGGTTAGTGGTTACAGTACCTAAGTCGTTTCAGGAAAGTCCTGGGGCCGGTTGTATCAAGCCCGTTTAGCCCGTTAAACGGCGAAAAAGTCAAAATTAAATAACACTTTTACAACTCTCTTGAATGAGTGAACTTGAATATTATGCACTGAATATGTAGTTGTGAACAGTATCTTTGTATTAAACAAACAAACATTTAGTTTGCTTGTTGAATAAAACGACATAGTTGCTTTCAATTTTGAAATTAACCACCGTTTAAGCTAAACGGGCTTGACACAACCGGCTCCAGATGTTTTATATATTTCTATTACTTCAGGATTCACTCCAGTAGTAATTGAGAACGTTTTGGAAGGGGATGAACTACGGACGAATGTTTTGGAGATAGAAAATCAAATCGAGGAATTGGGTGCTGAAAATATTGTTTGCATTATGACAACCACAAGTTGCTTCGCTCCCAGAGTGCCTGACAGGTGAGAACAAGATTTTCTATTATTTTTATTTAGGTTGTTTCAACCTGCTCGGTACTTGATGTACGTAGCTATAGTAGCTATTCATTCAAATGGCAGGATTTATTGTCATTCTCGTAATGCTTACTGTATGTTGTTATGAATTGTTTCGCGCTAACACAGTTGCAAATTCCCTATACGTAAAATTTCCCTATACGTATACAGAATTCGTGAGAGACCCTTGTAAAATAGAGTCGGTTCCTCAATAGTAAAAATATGTAGTAGGTTAAACTAGGTTAGTGGGTAGGAAATATGAATTTGGGCTACCAAACCATAGCAGTGCCAGAAAATTAGATATAATTAATTAATTTCAGTTACTGAGTTGCTTTCTTAATGGGACTGAAATATTTCCGAATGAAATTTGAAAAGATTCTACGAAGTATTTTTCCGTTGCATAAATGAAGTTTAAGATTTTGGCCACTTCAAGTCTCCATTACTTATTTTGTTATAATGAACAGCCAGATGATGTCGTTATTCGTGAGACGATTTCCAAAAAAAAATATATTAAAACCAGCCTAAACACTACATGCGCCTGCATCATAATCCAATTTTGTCCGAGTGCGAAGTATAGAAAATATAATCACTATTTTTTCTCAATTAAATCATCCTAACCGCGTATTGGGTCTTTCCTGTAGACTGGAGGATGTTGCTAAGATATGCGAGGGCAAGAATATTCCTCATATTGTGAATAATGCTTATGGGGTCCAATCGACAAAGTGCATGCACCTAATACAAGAGGTCGGTGTTGTGTGTTTGTTTTCGATCTTCATCAAGCCAGATTAAAAAATTACACTCGGCCATCTTCACTGCATGATTGGGCTGCTAAACTATAGCTGAGATCGCTCCCGTGTTTTATACAAGGGAAAACATCTCCAAATACCCTCTCATAGTATAATAATGTTGTGAGAGCGATCGGTTAAGTAATGGCTTAGGGTTGGTGGTGATAAAATATAGGTAGTTAAGGTTTAGAGTCCCGTTTTCTTTTGATAGTTTTGAACAAGTAATAAGTTACGAATGCTCTGATGTGTACGAGCTCCTATTTGAACATCCGTAACTAATTCACTCGTTCACATCTATCAAAAGAAGAAAATCTCACATAAAATCGCAGCAAAAATGGCAAGTGAAAACTGTGTTTAACTATTTTGTTATTGACCTGGGGCCGGTTGTTCGAAAGGCGTTTAGCTTAAACGGTGGATAAGTTAAAAATAGAAAACCAAATTATCTATTTATTGAACAACTGAGTTGAAGTATTTCGATGTAAATAGTTCAATTGTCAATGGAAGTACATATTAAATGCGTAAGATGCAGGTTCAGTCATTCACAAGATCTATGAGAGTATTTTAAACTTTGGCTTATCCACCGTTTAAGCTAAACGCCTTTCGAACAACCGGCCCCTGTATGAATGGTCAATCAAAATTTATATTATTATTTTAGTGTTAAGTACGATTTACTTACCTGAAATGTAGTTAAGAGTTTTACAAGCGACCATGCATGCGTTATATACGTGTCATAATACCGCCTATAGGGTAATATCATGATACAAATATGTCGGAATATTTAGGTTTTTTCTTCTTTTTAAAGGCAGCAAGGGTGGGTCGTGTCGATGCCTTCATTCAAAGTTTAGACAAAAATTTCATGGTCCCTGTTGGTGGCGCTATCGTTGCTGGTTTTCAGGAGGCTTTTATCGATGAAATCGGGAAAACCTATCCGGGTGAGTTGAAGAGAATCAGTAATTCACCACATTTGCAAAAAAACAGCGAGGTTGCATTCTAATACCCTCTAGGACTTTAAATATTCAATTTACTTATTATTAGAAGTTCGCATCGTAGATTTTGCGGGATCGTTACATGAAAAATAATTAAATTTTGACTATTAACGATGAAATGATGGTAGACGTTAGGGCCGTTTTCCACTTGGTGGTATTTTGCGGTATATTCATTGGTGATAAACTAATTCAGTGTATCCATTTCGTTTAGGTCGGGCCTCCGCGTCACCGTGTTTAGATCTTTTCATAACATTATTAAGCCTTGGTTCAAAAGGATATAAGAAACTGATGTCGGAAAGAAAGGTAAGCTTGATTCGACCCTGCTCGTTTTTTTCCATCTATCAAAAGACGAAAATCGCGCCGAAAAACGGGTCTGCACACGAGCGTCGTTTTCAAAATAGTTTTTGCCAAGGAAAATGTTCTCAATATGTTTAATGATCTTCAACCTCTATTGTAAATTAATGGTGTTTGAAACCGTTTTTGCAACGAAAATAAAAACTCTCAAAAACATAGCCATCCAGGTTATCTCGAGCTCATATTTCCAATATAGCAATTTCAATATAACAATTTCATATAGCCAATCAGCGCTGTGAAGCGTTTTTGGAATAGAAATCCATTCTTCAGTATTTAATCATTACGAATAACAAAAATATACTGATATCTTTGGTTATTTTCTACGAAACTACTCGAAATTTTGTGATTATATTTCGTTATAAGAACTATTCTCTTACAAAAATTTGAAACCGAAATAAAGTATAATATATTGCAAGACAATATTAGGTTGTTTTAACAGAGAAATCGACTTTTATTTGACAACTAGTCCCAGTTTTTTCCCGCTATTTCAGATCACCCGGTTAGTAACCACACCATGCGTTGGTTATTTGGTGTAATTTACCACAGTTTGAATTTCTCATGTTTCTAAAGTTTTGCGAATCATGATGTCATTGATAGGTTCCTTAGTGGTAAATTTTGTTCCGCGTGCCGCGTATTCCCTCTGAGGTCCTGGTTCGAGATAGTAAAGCATAAAATCAACAGTAACGTGGTAACCCTCACTTTTAAGGACGTCTACAACTACTTGGCCGAAGGTCTTAAGAAATTAGCTGAAAAGCACGGGCAGAAGTTACTGAACACAAAACACAACCCTATATCATTAGGTAGGTGTTTTATGGTTACTGCTGCATAATATGTGGAAACAAGAGTGTTCTTAAATTCTTCTCAGTAAAAACAGTACCTAGGAGTAAACATGAACCAATCAAATGCGATATCGGATTAACCAATCACGACTGCTTTGAGGAACAGGAACCAATCAAATGCGATAACAGATTAACCAATCACAAGCGCAACATTAGTTAACCAAAGATAACGGTGGTGGTAGTGGCAGTGAAATCTGAACCCCCGTAAGGTCTTATGCGCTGAATCGAATGCAAATGATTTTAAAGATTTTAAAGATTTTAAAAACGTTTTTGATGGCAAGATCGCCAGAGCAAATATAGACGCATTTAGGCCAAATGCACGGTTTGTCAGATGAGTGAATTAGTTAATCCTTTGGTGCGAAAAATCATTATTGTAATAAGCATAAAAACAATTAACCTCTGAACTAAATTTTGATTTCATTTAGCGTTTAATGATCATTTTTAACCTGATCGTAAATGTTAGTTCAACTTAATTGAATTTCAAGTCCGTCTTCCCACCCAAAATTAAATGTAACATATCAAAATCTAAGTTAGAACTTTCTACATTAATTGAGGTTTATCCTATTTCGACAGCTTTTTTCATTCTCACGTTACACGAGACCAAAGGAGAAAGTTTTTTTGGGTTCCTGGGTTATATGCCCTATTGTTTGTATAAATTAACCGAAAATTTTGTTCTTTTTTACCATTATGCTTTATCACCGTTTATATTTCTTTCCACATTCAGCAATGTCACTCCAGGAAGTCGAAGGAGGTCTTCGTGCTACGGGTGATGACGGTATGACTCAGCTGGGGTCAATGTTATTTACAAGATGTGTTTCCGGTGCAAGGTAGATATTTTTCATGCTATCTCACCGCCGTAAATTGCAACCACGCGCTTAAATTAATTGTGTCAATAAGTTACCACTTGACTTGAGCCTATATGCTGGAGGCTTACGGGTTATTTTATTGCAACAAGAAGTTTTTTATATATATTTTGATCTCTTTTAAACAAGGGTTGTTCCTCCAAACGCGACGAAGGACATCAATGGTTTCAAATTTAACGGGTGGGGCGCACACACGAATAACTACCCATGCGCGTACATGACAGCTGCGGCTGCCCTGGGCATGAGTAAAGATGACGTGGACACATTCCTAAAGAGACTCGAGAAATGTTTGTGTAAGTATTTAAACCAAATTAATCCCCCTCTACCGATTGCGGAGACGAAGGAAGACGAGAGGAATGGCTTGCCAGAAAATTAGGATGGTTTTTGTACCGACAAATGGTATTGCTGTGGAATCCTAAACCCGCCTTTTTTACTGGCGTAAACACCGGCCAATATAGTAAATTATATGATGTGATGTGATGGACTAAGCTATCGAGGTCATAAGGTCCGTTTAAGGCCCTGTTACACGGTGCGAATTTGCCTGCAACTTGCAATGCAATGCTACTTTTAAGAGATGCAACCTTGGCAACTACGAAACTTTTGTGCTTATTTTGCACTCCGTTGGAGGATGTTTCTTATACTTACATTCTAATGACTCTTTACTATAATTTACATCTTTTAGCAGTAGAATTGCAATCATTTAACAGTAGAATAGTGCCCACATAGAATCGCACGTCTGGCACGTGTTAACGGCCCCACAGAACGTCGTCACCTTGCTCACGTCATTTGGTCCTCGCATCGATGAAAATTACCGCATATCGTTCGTTTCGTGTGCGAATGATATGTTCCAATTTTTTTTATATATTTTTATGTTTTGTTAATCAGCGCTTTATTAAAGTCGTACGAAGTCAAAAGATGTGATTTTTGAAGACATCAGAGGCTATCCACGGGTTAGTGCTAATTGAAATCGCTCTAAAATTGCCCTAGCTTGGCATAATCTAGATTAAACCTTGCTATCATTAAGGTGTAGTGTTTGTGTTTATTAATTGTGTCGCAACCACGCGTGAAGCCCGTTTTCCATAACGAGCAGATAAAAAGTAGAAAGCCATTCTACTTTTTCGTAGCGAATAAGGTGGCATAGTGAAAAACACAGGCCAAAAAACATCACTATCCAGTGGATAGCGTTACCACAACACAGTCTTCGTACAACCATGTTGTCCCAGAAATATATTTGGTCATGAAGGCTTGAATTTCCACAATCTGCTATGACGTAAAGACCTTTATGACGTGAGCAATGTCGAGGACAATTATATAGCCCTTGATAAAAACGCCTCTCGGCAACTAGTATCTGCTAGTAATGAAGAAGAAAGCTCTTCCTGGTAATCGTTTATGGATTGCGGCACCGGGAACTAGGCTCAAAGCCAGTGTTCTATCGTAGAATAGGATTGTTATATGTACAATAGTTACCCGTTTGAAAGATGAAATGAATTGCCGTGACAAAATCCTGTAGAGGATGATAGAGTACGAAAAAAACGACATTAAAACCAAAGGCCCGTCCAAATGGTACATGCATATCTCTTGGAAAAGTGCGTATTGCAAATTTCAAACCTCTATTTTTTAATATTTTGATATATGTAATTACATACATTTTATATTGTGCTAAATGAAATGCATTTAGCCGCAAATACTGTAAAGAATTGAAATTCCCAACTATGACACCGTTTCGTTAATGCATTTAATTTCTACTTTATACTAAATACCGATTCCACGGAATACATGGGTGCACTATGTTTCAACAAGTTCACTAATTCCCTATTTCCTATCATTAGAATCGGTGTTTTTGAAATATAGATTAGTGTCTGTAAACAGGTAAATCTCAATGAGAGTGCTTTTCATTCGGAAATCGATAAAAGCTTGGCATTGAGAATGAAAACTTTATGTTAGAAATAGCGATGCACTTGAATTAGCCATTTCCCAATTGAGAAGGGTATTGGGTCTAGTCGCGAAGCAACTATGGATTGTTTGGAGGGACAGGAAATATAAGACTGAAATCATTTGTCCCTCCAAACAGTCCATAGATGCTTTGCGGTTCGCGACCAGACCCAGTTATCTGCTCGATTGGGAAATGGCTAATACGAATAGTTATATAACTTGAAAGTTGAATTAAAAAGATTGTCTTAAAGTCTGTTTTTGTTATGAGCAGAAATGTGAAACACTGAATGTGCCGTTTTTGGCAATTTAGGCATATCAAAAGATTCTATTTAATGTTGGAATTTAAGATTTAAGACCGAAAATGCTAGAATAATTCCCGATAATTTTCCAAAATAGCAGGTGTTTTTGTAACTTTACCTTTTTGCCAGAGGCTTGAAACTCTTAGCTACGTTGAATAGAAATATGAAATATCCAAGTATATTTCAGCTCGAAACACGAAATCTAATCATTTTCACCACGCACAGGCAAATATACATATGCAGGCATGCTTGGCACTAGTTGTCATTCCAGTTGTTTTAGAGTTCACTGGGAACAGTGCTGGGAACAACCGCATAACCGACTATATGTGGGCGACAATATGAATTTAGAAATAAATGCCTCAATGCATGACAGCCATGCATTTGAGGAGTCCCAAACTTTAATTATTAGTTTACCAGAAAGGGAAAAGAAAGGTATAGGCAGTGACATGCGTCAATTATTCCGGGCCAAATTTTGAATTCAAGGAAACGAATTTAATCAGTCTGTAGACTTTCTTCGTCTTTGAGATGTAAATGAATATTAAATGTTAAAATGTAGATTTATTAAATTAAAATTACTTGTCTGTTATATGTGAAATTAAGCGTTTCCATAGCATTCGTCTTGGCAGACAAGACGTGTCGTCTTGTAAGATTATATTTATAGAAAAATGATTTTAAACAAGAACGAGGTTGATTTAATAAAACTCAATTTCGTATTAATGTCTTATTATTGTATAAATTTCCCTCGTTTAAATTATACCCAGAGCCAAACACTGGCAGCACAACCGTGAATATTTATAGCCAACTTACTAAATCGTAGCCATACCAGAAGCTGACAAAGGTCTGTCCATCGTGACTATAACGTCTTGATCGGTATTACGAGATTTTGGCGCCGAAAGAATTCGAGGCTTTTTGATAGCAGTTAACGGCGGTGTACTGGGACCCTCTTCTTCCTCGGGTAAGCTGTCTAAAGCTTGTATTATTGGTCTGGGCTTTCTGCTGCAAGTATTTTCGCTTGCCTTCGGGCTTGAAGTATGTTGAGGTTGCGTGGATTTTTCCAAAGTCGCTGTCTTCTTGTGTCCACTGTGTTTTATCGGATTAGGGAATTGGCTTGATGTATTTTCATTCTCCTGTTGTGTTTTCACCGAACTGCGAACTGGTTCTACGGGCTCTGCTCGCTTTGAAGCCCCGGGATCTTTTTCGTTGTCATAACTCTCGCGTTTTGTTCTTTGCGTGCCACTCGCCGTTTTAAAGTTATCGTTTTGAGATGAAATTGCAGGCAAGCTAGTTCGGCGCTCCTTCGTTACCCTGGCAACGCCGTTGTCTTTAGGAACAATTTTAGGAAGCCGCAAGACTTTTTCCAATTTATTCCCGCTGTCGCTGACTCCGAGGTCAAAACTGGCAGATTTCGGTGGAACTTTCGGCGAACTTCTCTTTTCCTGACGAAAAGCGACGCTGCCGGCGGTCTTCGGTGGAATCTGGAGCACGGATCGGTCATTTCTCTTAATCATTCTTCGTCTCTTGTAGTGATTTATAAATTCGCGATTGGTTTTCGCCACGAGTTGAATCGCTTGCAAATCTCGTCGCTCGTTCACGATTCCTCGCTGTTCCATTCGCATCGCGTCCAATTTCGCACTGATTTCCCTCTCCTCTCGCTTGATTTCAGCCAACCAAACGCGGTATTCTTTCACGAGTTGGTTTAACTCGTTTTCGTACTTAAATCTGACGTATTCATTGGAACTGTACATTCGTCCGACTATAGACTTCGACTGGATTATCAAGGATTCGGCGTAAAACGGGTCGTTGAGAGGCGAACGGGTATTTTTCGCGCCAATGTTGTTTTTCAAAGCGGTTAACATTTCCTCAAAGCTTGCCATTATGGCGCCGGTATTGAAGTGGTTCGGGATTTGATCGGCTGGTCAGATGCGACGCCAATTTGAGGACTGGGAAGTTTCATGACAACGTTTCGTATTTATTTGCGAGCAGTCAAATTAATTAATTGTGTTATAACGTCTTGTTTGCTTTGCGCTAAGCCCGCATACCAGCTCGTGTCAACACAACGATATTCACATTAAGTGCTTGGCAAACTAAAATGTTTACACGGCGTTTTGTTTGTTCACGTCCCAGCGAAATGACTCTGCAAGCGCACATGCAAATAAACAAACGGTTTAATCTAAAATCAACTGGTTGCTTTTAGTAGTTGAATTTTTGGGGGCGTTTTTTAACCTTGAATGTTTCATTAATTTTCAATGCGTTAATTTTATTCGTGCCCAGGCTACCAACACAACGACCGAGCAGTAATATAGGCAATGGTGACATCATCACTTACCTGGTATATAGTTTAAGCCTCGTACAAACAATACTAATCCTATATCAGCTTGGGTAATTCACACAAGTCAACGATTAAAACAAATATGCATGTTCAGGTACTTGGCGAAAACGTTTAGTAGCGGAAATCACTCCTGATGGTAACTATGCATTGACTAAGCGTATGGGCTGTTTGCCATAAAGTGGTTTACTTTGTATTTAATTTAGGTTAACTGTTGTAGAATTTTAGTCAAGTATAGAAACAATTTTAGAACTAAATAGCAGCGTGTTGCACTGATCTGGAATCCTGCTATAACTGACATTTCTATAAATTTTGGAAAAAAATTGCCATGACGTTGTTTGGTTTCCAATCATTTGTGATAAAACACTTAGATTGCAATAGACCTTTTTCATAATGACGTCAAACGCGGAAAGTCTGATGTTGCACGAAGTTTGATTGGCTCGATAGTTTTGTGGAGCCAATCAAATTTCGTGTAACATCATACTTTCCACGTTTGACGTCATTATAAGAAAGGTCTATTTAACAAGCAATCCAAAGCCCGTCCTTTAATTGATCATGTGAATAATTATTCTAAAATTCCACTACGATCTAACGGCCATGGCTATAGAGTATATAGGCTATAGACTTTATAAAGTCTCGTTTACGGCATCACACTCAATCTCTTCGCACAGCAACGGCTAAACTTATAGTACCAGTACAAATTTTATCTCTATTCATAGTCGGACAGAGAAGACCAGAGGAATCAATCGATAAATCAAAATTTATTTAAACACAGTAAAATTATCAGTTTATAAAGATGGTGCATATAACTAAATGATGCTGACTATAGGTAACTATAGGTTATATAGGTATTATAGGTATAACTATAGGTATAACTAAGTATAGGTTTTACTTTGAAATAATACGAAATTGATAATCAACTATTTAATAATAGTTAACGAGAACGCCATAATTATATATTATATATATATATATATATATATATATATATATATATATATATATATATATATATATATATATATATATCAATTCTTTAAAACTGTTGATTAAAACCATATATTTGAACAACCATTGTGTTCAGCACTACAAGAGCTAGTGATGGTGTACAACTGATGTGGTAATGCACTCGCGGTACAACAGCTTTACTTATAAGTAATAACGCTATTTTGAGAATGCACCCAGAAAAACGTCTTTTTGAAACATACTATTGTAAGAATAAATACATTTACTCATTTCAATACTAAAAGTTCATTTTACCCGGGCTCATGAGAACAGCCCCTTAGTGATAGTGCTCAAATTTGAGCTTTTATGCAAAGCAGTAAAATAAATAAGTTATTATACCGGGTTTTCATGCATTGTTCTGTTTACGATTCAAAAACACTACAAACGTAACGTTCTTGGAAGCCAATATGTTTTTCTCTCTTAAAGCTGGCCTTAATCTTAAAACTGGTTTGGACGAATTTTCATCTCCGTCTTTTTCAGTGAATAATCGTGCCAATAACTCCATACTATCCCAGTGCCATGCATGCATCACACCCGCATCTAGGTGCAGGCCATTGAGGTTGGAAGAATTACAGTCCTTGTACCACCAAGCTCCCCTCCATGTCTCAACACAATCACCACTCCAAACGTCATTGTCGCTATCCTTGGTTGAGAACTGCATTTGATTATGGATAGTAAGAGTGTCACCTGCGTCACCTTTTAAGAATATATAATAAAACACCTCAATGAAAAACAGTAAAAAATAGCTAAGTTTTTTTCAGTTCGCCATTTAATTCTGATATATGACGATGATTATGTATGCTTATAAATAGTGTAGATTTTTAGTTTTTAAAACATTCATTATCCACATAATTTACACTGAGAATCTATAGATCTTCCTTTACCTGAATAACTGCCAATATGCAATCTGTATTTGTCTGATTCATCAGCCACACTAAACTTTCCATATTTAGCGTAACGTTTAGCGCCCTTGAAATCCATCAAATCAACTCTTAGAAATTTTTGGCCAGATTTGGACAAACGATGTATTTTATCAGGACCCAGCCGGAACT